TTGGAGAACAACATTATTGACATCTTCCTCTGTGACTTCAGTCACTCTCTTTTTTTTATAATTTCGAACCATTTTTATCATTAAGTAAACCAAGGACGTAAAATAAGATCTTATTTTACGTCCTTGAGTAAACTAAACTCAGTCCGTAAATAATAAAGCAATAAAGTGCGTGAAGTTAAAAGAATGAATTACAATGATTCAAAGGTGCCCGTTCATTTTTTTCAAAACTGCCCCAATGGCGTCTTAGAGAGTAAATGCCTATTTTTGGAAACATAATTTTTTTTTTTTAATGAAATTTTTTGCATCATTGTATAGAGAATAAAATAATCTATATAATAAATAACATAAAGTTCAACATTTGCTAAAAATGTGGTCAGAAAAATCTTACAACTTTTTATCAAAATGTTTCAAATTTGTACTAAAAAACAAAAATATCGTCTAGTTTGTCCACTTTTAATCGAATGGCAACATATTCAAGTGATAGATGTGAGGATAAGTATTTTCATGTTAAAATAATTCTATATATCAAATTTAAATACACGCGCTCTTCACAAATGCATTAATTTAAAGCTGCCCCCGTTCAAAGCTGCCCCCTTCTCCCCTACGATATGTAAAATATCTTACTGGTTTTTATAAAAATTTGCTTAAAACAAGTTATTTTTTGCTTAAATTAGGAAACCATTTTTTGCAGGGTGCACACGATATTAGGAATAACTTCTGCAACAAGCAAAAAAATCTTGTTTCAAAAAAAAGATATATTTATATCTATACAAACAAATATTCTATTTTTTATGATATATATATATACACACTATTCTACGAAATATATACATGCATACTAAGTTTTAAAAAATTATGTATTTTAATTTTTTAATTAATGCCTTTCATGACTATGTAGAAATGTTTTATTAAGTCTGCTAGAATACCTGTCATCAAAAAAATATATATATACTGCACTATTAGTGGGTCCTACCCGGAATTTTCAAGAACAGGAATCCCGGGAAATTACTTAATTTTTATAGTTCCCAATTCCCTGAATTCAATATAATGGAAACCGGGGTTATAAAAATTATTCTTAGTTGCAAAAAGTTTTTTAAATACTTAACTTTTTTCGAAGTAGTTTTTTTGCGTTTTAAAAATAACTTTAAGTTGTGGTAGGCTTAGATTCAGGAATTCTTTTTACATTATTTTGATAACATTTTTTTTTTTGTCATTTTGTGTAATAATACTTAACTTTTTTCGAAGTAGTTTTTTTGCGTTTTAAAAATAACTTTAAGTTGTGGTAGGCTTAGATTCAGGAATTCTTTTTACATTATTTTGATAACATTTTTTTTTTTTGTCATTTTGTGTAATAATTTTGTGTAATAAAGAATTTATTTTAATAATTTGTTTTTGTTTATATAATTTGAACATAATTTGTGAAATTTATATTATTTTGAAGTGGTTTGTACTTGGTAGATAAAAAGTGAAATTTGAATTGATTTAATTATTATTATACTCATAAAGTTATTTTTATTACATATTACAATTATCAGACTATGTTTAAAAAGAACTCATCAGAAGTTTGAAACCATTTCAAAAAGGACAACAGTTGTGAAAAGGCGATTTACAAATACTGCTTAACAAATATTGGATGCAAAAGATCATTGACCAGTAGATTAATTTGACACTTGTTGGCTGTTCAACCAGAAAAGACTATAAAACGCAAAGAAAGTGAGGCCAATTTGAAAGCAGGACCAGAAACTTTTAAGATTTCTAAAACTAAATCTCAACCTACAATCTTTAATTATGTTAAAAGACAATCTATGGCTGAAATAGTAGCAAGATTATGTGCTTTGGATGGATTTTCAATTTCTGGAATTTGTTCATAACAAATTTGTTGTTGATGTTTGTTCATAAAAAATTGATTGTTGAAAAGTTTGTTCATAAGGGAAAGTGCCCCTGGTTTCCAGTTGCCTAAAAGCAAATCCCACGTTATGAAACTCGTACATGATTATTACGAATTAGTAAAACTGGAAACCATAAAAAAAAAATTTGTACACAAAAGAGAACTGGTTATTAAGTTTGACACTTGATGAATAGACAAGCTTTAAAAATCGACGATATTCAAACGTAAATGCGCATTATTAGGACGGAAGCTATGATAATGTGGGTCTTATAAGAATTTATGGTAATTTTTCAGCTAAGGTTTTAAAAAATCTACTTCAAAAAAAATTGTTTTAAAATTAACTTAAGTGATGTTTTGACAAAATTTGGGAGAGACATTTATGTTCTACCGATTATGTATTAATCATGGTAATCGGCTCGCAATAACCAACATTATTTATAAAAAAAATTATAATAGAAGCTATTTAAATGATGTATTAATCATGGTATTCGGCTCGCAATAACCAACATTATTTATAAAAAAAATTATAGTAGAAGATTATCTAGAGTTTTCTTCTGCTGAAGAATCTGATTAAGATTTAGATTCAGAAAATGAGGATGATGATGTACAAGTAGAAAATGAGGATGATGATGTACAAGTAGAAAATGAGGATGATGATGTACAAGTAGAAAATGAGGATGATGATGTACAAGTAGAAAATGAGGATGATGATGTACAAGTAGAAAATGAGGATGATGATGTACAAGTAGAAAATGAGGATGATGATGTACAAGTAGAAAATGAGGATGATGATGTACAAGTAGAAAATGAGGATGATGATGTACAAGTAGAAAATGAGGATGATGATGTACAAGTAGAAAATGAGGATGATGATGTACAAGTAGAAAATGAGGATGATGATGTACAAGTAGAAAATGAGGATGATGATGTACAAGTAGAAAATGAGGATGATGATGTACAAGTAGAAAATGAGGATGATGATGTACAAGTAGAAAATGAGGATGATGATGTACAAGTAGAAAATGAGGATGATGATGTACAAGTAGAAAATGAGGATGATGATGTACAAGTAGAAGGGGATGCTGATGAAGAGTTACTTGGAAAAGAATACATTTCAGAAGAACAGGAAAATTTTAAAATAGTTTTGAACAATATTCGCAAAATTGTGAAGCTTTTCAAGAAATCAGCGGTAAAAAACTGTCTTCTTCAAAAATATGTTAAAATGGACCATGGAAAAGAACTGAATCTTATGTTGGGTTCTGCAACTAAGCGGAGCATTATCGTACCAATGATAGAGTGTTATCTTTTGTTTAAATCCTGAATTAAAAAATCTCTAATAGACTTAAACTCCCAGATAAATTTAAATGAAAATGAGATTAATACGATACAGGAATTATTAAATATCCTAAAACCGATGCAAATGGCAGTTGAAGCACTCAGTGCAAGAGATTATAATCTTGTTACTGCTGAATGAGTCATGCAGTTTCTCTTTAATTCCATTAGAGATTTACCTAGTACCTTATTAAAAAAATGTTTTAGATACCCAACAGAAAAGATCATTAGAAAAGCGATCAAAAGATTTGATTTTGCTTACAATGTTTCTTCAACATCCAGAAAATTTAAAATGAATTTAAATACAAACGAATATAGTAATGGGAAATTTTTTGCTCTATCATCAGTTTTAGCAGTATCTAAATTAGCAAAAAATTTACTAATCCAACATTTTTCTGATGATCGGGAAATTATCATTGGTAGTACTTTAGATTTAGGCATTTTAGACTTCTATCTTGGTTATGCAATTGTTTATAACAAATTCCATAGCCAATATCAAATCTTAAAACAAAAACTTAAACACAAACTGTTTTTAATAAAGTTTTAATTATTATGAAATATTTATATTAATTTTAAGAAACATAATTCTGCTCAGGAAACAGTATTTGTAATAAAGCATAACTACAATATTCTTAATAGCAAAATGCTTTTATGATAACATGTTTTAAAAATGAAGACAAAACGTCAACAAAAATTGATGAAAAAAAAACTACTAACTGAAAAAAGAAAAAGTTAGAACCTATGATTATTGAAATCAGAAGGTTCTAGCAATTATATATTGGTAAAATATTAAATTATTTTACTATGTTTTGTTTTTATTCAAAAATCAATTAAAACCACTGCGATTTTAGGACTTTAAACTAGGTAATTTTAATAAAAACACTGGGAAGTTGAGCATGCTCACATTATACATAAAATGGCGTCTTTAAATATAGTCAAAACTAAATGTTTAAATGAATTTATTTTTAAACAAAAATGGAACGGATTTCTACCTAACATATTATTTTTTATGAAAAAATTAATTTTATTAATATAGCACCAAAATTTCGCGCCACAGATTTATTCATACGTGAGGATATTATTTTAAAAACGCAAAAAAATTAATAACGTTCTAATTAGATGATAGCTGCTTTTTAATTATATAAAATTACGCTAATTATACTATTCCCGTTATCACCATTAATCAATATTATCCCGTTATCAGTTAATTCAAAGAATACAAAGCAACTTAAACTTCACTGCTTACATCTAAGAAATCTTTAAGTATGCTTATATTACCAAGGTATATTATATTACCCTAATCTACCCTAATATTAACATACACTACCTTACTACTATTACTACTATTACTACCTTATATTACCCTAATCTACTTAATCCAAGAAAATTTTTTTCATCGTTGATTTTTTTTTTTTTTGCTGTACAATAACATCATTGTGCAACGTCGGCGTTAATAATATTATTAACGGTGCTTCAATAGTTTTTAATGGTATAAGGTTTTATGTAAAATGTGTTTTATTAGCACGGGTTAACGGATTTTTTTGCAACTTAAGAACTAGATTTTTACTTGATAAGAATTGTAACTTCATTTTCTCCCAACAGACAGTTTTATTTAGAATGTTTTTTTAGTTAATTTTAAAGTAAAATATTTTTCAAAAAAATAAAAATTATATTTACGTTGTTTTGTTTTTAGTTATTTTATAATTTTTAACCACTGTTATTATAGTTATACATTTTAACATTATTTCTTTTTAAATATTTTTTTTGTTATTTTACTTAGGGATACAAACTCCAAATTGCGTAAAAACTTGTTTATACGACAATTGGAAAGTGTTGAACATCCTACAACTGCTAATCTAACTAATCAAACTGCTCCAACAAATGCTTTATCAAAATCTGACTACCCAGAAACCAGTTTACCAACCGCTGATTTACCAACAACTAGCAATCCAACTCTTGGTTTACCGACAATTGGCAATACAAAATCTGAAACTTCATTTTCAATTAGGCATGAGTATGATATTATTTTAGTTTTTAAGTTTTTAATTAAAAACGTCATGATTTTAAAAAAAAAAACTTTAAAATAAATTGCTTATGTTGATCATCACAAATAATTACTAACGAGATCATTCCTGGTAAATTTTCATCTCAAAGTTTGGAATCTGGCTCAATATAAGTTTTCTATTTCACTATCATTGATAACATTAGATGCAGCATTCAAAACACCCTTAAATATATATAGTTAGTTGTAAATTTTCTATTTTGATAATTTTAATTTTCATTGATTTTACAAAGTCAGGATTATTTAAAAACTAGAAATTACAACCCAGTGGGCATGTGTTGTCTGGGAGACGTCCGTCAGACGTTTTACGGGCGTCTGAACGTCGAGTTCTGTTGACAATTTATAATGCGAATATCAAATAGTTAATACAAAAAAATTGACGCAAAAGCAAAATTGTCACCAGCTACTTTAACCATATTTTCTAACCCGTATATAATAAAAATTAATAGTTATTTTTCATCTTCAGTAGAGTTGAAACTAAAATGGAAGTCATCGATACAACTTTTATATAGCTTTACATTTAGATTATTAGAAATTGCTTCGAGCGTTATTTTCATAAAAATGTAAAAATCATTCTGCAGTTACTACCTCAATTTCAAAGCCTCAAGAAAATTTGCAGATGCAGAATCCTCGAGTTCATAATTGCCATACTCGTGTTAAAAATAGCACTGTGATAAAAATATATCTTAAAGCGTTTTAATTTCTCTTAAGGTAAAATTCAATGTAAAATTTGGATCATTTTTCAATTGCTCTATATAGTCAAATATTGCCTCACTCACTGGGACTAAAAGGTATAAATTAACGACACTTGAATTTCGTTTTATCAATATTTCATCAATATTTCATCAATACTTCATCAAAAATTATCCGGAAAATAATTTTTTTATTTAGTTATATATCAACAAACTCTTCAATGTCATTTAAAACCTATTTGATTAGATTTTTAATACATTTTTCTTTTTTTTTTGTTTTAGGGCAGTTATACAAAAAAAGCCTGATACAAACGTGCTTTTTCTGAAGACACATAAAACAGGTTCATCTACAGTTACTAACATCTTGCAACGGTATGCAAAGTCGAATAATTTGAATGTTGCTCTACCTAATTGTGATCACAGATTTTGTTATCCAAACAAATTTGATGAAAACTACATTTATCAACATAAACCTGGAGACAAATATAACATGCTGTTTAATCATGCCGTATTTGACAAAGAGAAGATGCTAAACATCATGGCTCCCAATACTAAAATGATTACTATAATTAGAGAACCTTACTCGCAGTTTGATTCCGCAGCACAATATTTAAACTTTAAAAAGTATTTCAACTTAAAAAGTCATTTACCTCTGCTAGACGAATTCTTTCAAATTTCTGAAGACTTTTTAAAAAAGTTTATTCAATCTGCAGACCAAACTGAAGGTGAAGGTGCATTTTCTTTAGCAAAAAATCCCAATGCATTTGATCTTGGTTTCGACGTCTGGAACGAATCACATGAATATATTGGAAGTGTTTTAAAAGCAATTTCAAAAGATTTTGATCTAGTAATGATTACAGAATATATGGAAGAGTCTTTAGTTCTTTTAAAAAATGAGTTAAATTGGAATTTAGAGGACATCGTTTTTTTCTCTCTTAATGCAAGAGAAATTAAAGATAAAAATACAAATGACATAAAAAGCGTTACAACAAAAATTTTAAACTGGAACAAAATTGACACAGCTATTTATAAACATTTTAACATGACCTTCTGGAAAAAAATAGAAAACAGTCCCTCTGAATTTTTTTCAGACGTAAATACATTAAAGCAGTGGAACATAGACTTGGTAAATCATTGTTCCAGATTTGAAACCACAAAAGCATCACTTCTTATAACAAGAAACTATTATGAAAAAGCACGAGGTAGTTTATGCAACGATATTAAAAGCGAAGATACTTCATTTACGTTTTGGTTCAAGTGGGCATTTCGATATAAAAAAAGAGGAATTTTTCCACTAAGCTTCTATTAAAATATTAATAAAAAATAACAGTTTTAACTTTTTATAGCATGACGACGAAGATGTAAATCTAGAGATTTTACCTTTACCTTTTCTATTGTAAAAACATAAATTTTTATTTAAATTATTTTATTTTATTTAGTAAAAAAAAAAAAGGAAATATAAAAATTAATAATATTTTTTACAAACTAACGGACAAATTTAGTTTTTAGACAAATTTTGTATCAAAATATGCGATTAATAAAATTTAAAAAAATCACTATAGTAGTACTTTTATATGAGTTAAATTTTACTTATACTCAGAACAATAGATTTTAGATTTTGAATTGTTAAGTTCCATAATTCCTGTTTTATAATTTTTTTGATTGTTATATAGACTTTTAAGCATTACTTAAGCAGTACAACACTATTGAAGTAGTACAACACTATTGAAGCAGTACAGCATTGCTAATTCAATTAAGCTCTTAAGTGCAGCATACCTGAATCAGTTCAGCACCGCTGAAGCAGTAGTTTCAGCACAACAGAAACATAAACTAAAATTTATTGTTCATATGTTTGTTTATTAATGGTTGCATATGGACAATTTTAAATTAAATTTCGAACTGAGTAGGTCAAAACTTATTAAATTTTTTTAGTTTTAAAAACATTTCTTTTTCAACTAATAGATAAATAATTAGGGTGGAATGCAAAAAGCAAACTTGTGTAATGTGTAAATGCGAAAACGAAACTTGAAAATTTTAAGATCGCGCTTGAGAAAGTCAAACTTGAAAAACTTAAAAGGCGTTGATTGGAAGGCGGAATCGGAAAAAAAAATTTACAACCAATAGAGGCAGAATATTTATAAAAGGAAAACTTTTTAAATAAAGCAAAATAACTATATATTTTTAAACAATATTTTTTAGTGTTATACTTTAAAGTGTTAACTTACTAAAATAAATTAAAAGGTGTTAAAATAAATTAAATAGGTGATTAATCGCGACGTTAGAATTATCTTGTTCTAATTCCACACTTTTGAGTTTTGAGATAAAACGATTTAAAAAATAAAAACTTTAGACGATGGCATATAAAAGTTTTTTTATAACTAATGTTTTCTCAGCAACTTTTTTAGTTACAACTTAGGTTACAATACAGTAGAAAAACATTTTTCTAAGGTACACACACACACAATAACTCAATTTTTTTAAATGTGGAGATAGAACAAGATAATTCTAACGTCGCGTAATGTAAAATAGAATAATTATGTGGAAGAAATGGTAGTAATTGATCATGTCTATCCGCAGCAGTAAAAGTAGTAAAGTAAAAGATCAAACTCTCTTTTATATAGCTATATAAAGTTTGCAAATGATATTCAGTAAATAAAATAGAAATAAAATCAATAATTAATAAGCGTGACCAGAAAATGTTAAAAAACTTCAAAAGAAATTTTTTTTTTTTTTATAAACATAGACTGCCTGCCCAAACCAAACCCTCAGTCGATATAGCAGCACTCCCTTGCGAGTCAAGCTATTTGTCAGTCGATGTAGCAGCACTCCCTTGCGAGTCAGACTATTTGTCAGTCGATGTAGCCAGGGCCGGTGCACCCTATAGGCGAACTAGGCAATCGCCTAGGGCGCCAAAGTTTAGGGGCGCCTAAAAATTGATAAGTTTTTTTATATGCTAACAAAAAACAACGCTTTTGCTCATTGAGCAATATGTACGTACATTTTACCGAACGCAATCTAAATCATAACAAATATGGCGGCGTCTTTAAAATCAAAGTGATTTTCATAACAACTTTCAATAGTTAGTCGACTATATTCTTTATATAATTTATACTGACAATATATATATATATATATATATATATATATATATATATATATATATATATATATATATATATATATATATATATATATGTACATATAGATGAATAGTGACATTCTATATACTATTATACATTTATATTAAGTTTTAGACACTTATTAAGAAAAGTAAAATATTTTTTATATGAATATATAATAAATAGCTTAAATCTAGGGCTATTATATATTACGTATTATATTATTATTATACTTCACCATACGTATAACTCTGCTATACAAAATAAAATTTGAATTATTTAAACACAATGCATCTAGCAGGTTAAATTTTTTGTTGAGTCGCTTCTACAATATGTCTTGATCTGCACCAGCTAATTACACATTGAAATCTCATTCATATAGCTAACTTCCATTTCCGTTTAAAAAAACACAAAAAATACTAGCAGGACGTATAACTTTGCCAAGTTGTTTTTTGTATAATACAGTTAAATGATAACCTGTTAAAACTTTACAGAGCTGTTCAGACCTGTTGGAAACTATAGCTAGCTATATATAATTTATTCTTGAAGCCAATCACAGAAGACCTATTAATGTATTAGTTAAACATCGCAACATTCATTTATTTTATTATTTTCTTGTTACATTTCAGATATGGCTGAGAGAAAGAAGCCTTCAGGAGCTCAATATCGTAAACGAAAAGTTGAACAGCAGAGGGAACAAGAAAAACAGAAGGGTTCATTGCTAAAGTTTATATGCCGACAAGACTCTACTAAAGAGGATAGTAATGGTGGACAGATTCCCACTGATATGGAAGCTAATGATAATGTGATGATGAGTGAAACACTTTCTTACTCAACAGTTCCCATTTCCCATGCAGATAATGGCCAATCGAATAATTTTCTCGAGGAACATGTACAGCAAGCAAGTGAAGAAAAAACGGATAATGTTATTCCACAGGATCCAGCACTTTGACCTCTACTAATTAATCATAATACACGTGCAATCATTGTAGAACGTGGACCTCAGCAAATAAAAGATATCAGTTTCCCAAATGATAAGAACAATCGAAAGTTTTCAGTATTTCACTACTTAAGAAAACTTCCTAATGGAGAAGAATTATGTTGCAGCTGGCTCTTGTATTCAGTATTAAAAGACTCAGTGTTTTGTTTCTGTTGCAAACTGTTCAGTAAGAAAGCAATTGGCATATCATCACTAACTCATACAGGTTCAAGTGACTGGAAAAACATGGCGGCAATTCTTTCTTCCCACGAGAAAAGTCCTGAACATTTGCAGAACTATCAAAAGTGAAAAGAACTACATCAGCGATTACAGAGGGATAGTACAATAGATGCAGAAATTTTGCGCAAGATGAAGAATGAAGAAAAGTATTGGCAGCAAATACTAAAGCGTTTAATAGCATTAGTGAGAGTTTTGGGTGAACAGAATCTAGCTTTTCGCGGTACAAATGAAACATGGTACAGTGCCAATAACGGGAATTTTTTAAAATTTGTGCAATACTTAGCCATTTTTGATCCATTAATGAACGAACATCTACGAAAAATATCAAATAAAGAGCTTCATACACACTATCTTGGCAAAGATATACAAAATGAACTTATTCAACTGTTAGGAAATGCTATTAAGAAAGAAATCATACAAATGCAATGAAATATTTTTCAATAATTCTCGATGGTACTCCTGACTGTAGCCATGTTGAGAAAATGACAATAATTATTCGTTTTGTTAAAGTTGATTCATTGAAAAAGGAGTTTAGTATCAAAGAACATTTTTTAGGCTTTGTACCTTTAAAGAAAACAACTGGAGCCTATATGGCAGAAACGATAATACAACAACTAGAAGAAATGGAGTTACCTATTGATAATTTACGTGGCCAAGGCTACGATAATGGTGCAAATATGATAGGCAAAAATAATGGTGTTCAAAAGAAAATATTAAACATTAATCCTCGAGCATTGTTTGTTCCTTGCAGCGCGCATACTCTTAATTTGGTTGTCAATGATGCTGCAAATTGTTGTCTAATGGCTACAAGTTTTTTTGATATTGTCCAACGTGTGTATGTATATTTTTCGTCTTCAACAAATCGGTGGGTAGTTTTCACTAGTCATCAACCTACGTTAACTGTTAAACCTCTAAGTGAAACAAGATGGGAAAGCAGAATAGATGCTATAAAGCCTTTGCAATATGAACTTGGTAAAATATATGATGCACTGCTAGAAATAGCTGATGATACTTCTCTAACTGGATCCTCAGGAAGCACTGCACGCAGTGATGCTAAAGCACTTGCGAATAGTGTTGCAAAGTTTAAGTTCGTGGTTTCAATTGTTGTATGGTACAACATACTTTTTGAAATCAATATAACAAGTAAGCAGCTCCAAGCTAAAGATTTGGATATTCATGCTGCTGTACAACAGTTACAACACACACAAGCCTATTTGGTTGACTGTAGGAGTGACATAGGTTTTGCAAGAATGCTAGTGGATGCTGCTGAAATTGCTAAGGATTTGGAGATACCACCAACCTTTGAGGCAGAACCACGATTACGGCGGAGAAAAAAGCAATTTGCATATGAAGCTGAAGATGAGCCTGTGCAAGATCCAAAACAAAATTTCAAAGTGAATTTTTTCTTTGCTATACTTGACACAGCAATAAGGTTGGTTGAAGAAAGGTTTGAACAAATGAGAACAATTGAATCTGTATTTGGTTTCTAATATCATATTCATGGTCTACAGAGTAAAACTTCACAAGAAATATTGGAATGTTGCATGAAACTAGAATCTGCTTTACAACATGGCGATAACAGAGATTTAGTTGCATCAGATTTGTGTGGCAAACTACAGTCTATTGCACGACAACTTTCTGAAGAAACAAAGTCTCCTCAAGATGTTTTTTGATTTATTCTTTGCCAAAACTTGGAAGACAGTCTACCCAACCTTTGTATTGCTCTTCGTATTTTGCTGACATTACCTGTTTCTGTCGCTAGTGGAGAGCGTAGTTTTTCCAAACTAAAATTGATAAAGACATACATTCGATCATCCATGTGCCAAGACAGATTGGTTGGGTTGGCAACTCTTTCCATTGAGCACGAACTTGCAGACAAGCTGGACCTGAAGGACCTTGTGATCGATTTTGCCCAGAAAAAGGCACGCAAAGTACAGTTTTAATATTTTTAAATAAATAAATACTTACCTGGTGTTTTCACTTTATTTTGCATTTTATTTTGATTTTTTTACGTAAAAGGGGTGCGACCTTTGAAGTTTTGCCTAGGGTGTCATAACCCCTTTGCACCGGCCCTGGATGTAGCAGCACTCCCTTGCGAGTCAGGCTATTTGTCAGTTGATGTAGCAGCACTCCGTTGCGAGTCAGTCTATTTTCAGTCGATGTAGCAGCACTCCGTTGCGAGTCAGGCTATAAGATAGTCGATGTAGCAACATTTACGCATGTTTTAAAAATTTTTTTTTAATAAAACAATAACAAAAACACTACAAATTAAAAAAAACTTTCTAGTCGTTATTATTGCGGTTTTTTGAAAATTTTTTAAAAAACAATAAAATTTAATGTACTTCCGCATTAATTTAATTGCTTTTACATTTCGACGACAATCAAATACAGCTCAAGACGTCTCTTATTAATTAAAATTGTAGTCGTAAGAGACTTTTTTTACATTAAACAACTCTTTTGACTACACTATAAGGAGATATATATATATATATATATATATATATAATATATATATATATATATATATATATATATATATATATATATATATATATATATATATATATATATATATATATATATATATATATATATATATATATATATATATATATATATATATATATATATATATAAACTTGAAATATCATTTTAACCAATATAAAGCAAAAGATAGTCAAGCCAGTAAACAAAAGTAAATCTTTTTTTCTCAAAATATTTATTCCTTATTAACGCAAATACTGAAAATAGTTTAGATGTGTTTTTTTCCGGATAAAAACACATTTAAACTATTTTCAGTATTTGCGTTAATAAGTAATAAATATTGATATTTGCGTTAATAAGTAATAATTTGAGAAAAAAAGATTTACTTTTGTTTACTGGCTTGACTATCTTTTGCTTTATATATATATATATATATATATATATATATATATATATATATATATATATATATATATATATATATATATATATATATATATATATATATATATATATATATATATATATATATATATATATATATATATACATATATATGTATATATGCATATATATATATATATATGTATATATATATATACATATATATATATATATATATATATATATATATATATATATATATATATATACATATATATGTATATATGCATATATATTTATATATATATATATATATATATATATATATATATATATATATATATATATATGTATATATATATATATATATATATATATATATATATATATATATATATATATATATATATATATATATATATATATATATATATATATACAAGGCCGGCGCAATAGGGTATGTGGGGGTGTGTGACCCCCCCCCCTCATCAATGAATTTTAGTCGACAAATTTGACCCTTAGAGGCTGTTCACACGAGGGTACATTTGATGGAACATTCCGTGGAACATGGAACATGAACAAATGGTAAGCGAAAGATACTATGACCCACGATGAGGAAATAAAAATAAATTTTAATTATGCGAACTATGTGTTACGTCATGCTAATATTAACTAACGTTGCGTGAATTTTTGGACAATCAAGGCGCAAACAAGAAACTAATAACAAAAACATATTTAGCTAAAATATACAGGCTGTCAAGCAGCAACTTTCGAAAAAAATGACAAAAAATGATGGTATTTTAAGAATAAAAATGACAAAAAATGAAAAAAATGACTGATTTCATTATAAAAATGAAAAGTTCAATAATTTTATTTTGAAAATAACAAACAAAATCATCCGCCATCACTAATTTCTTTTAAAAATGAAAATCTCAACATCTTTTTGTTGTTTAACACGCAATAAAACGTTTTTCTGAAGTCTAAAATAATTAACATAAATAAATAAATTTTGCTAACTAATTTTAACTGAACCAACAGTTCAAGCTCTATTATATTTACAAAAACTTTCAAACTTTTAACGACAACTTTAATTTTCGCAACGCTTGATTATTCTATCCATTTCACTTTTACATTTTAAACCAATATTTTCTCTCAACTTTTTCTGTTCATTTCTATGAGAGCATTTTCAAGACTTCTTTTTGCGCTGTTTATCATTTCATGGGCAATTTTTATACCCATCATGTCTTCCTTAATAATGGCACTTTGCATAGACTTTGCTGCTTCATCGAGCATTCTCTGAGCAAGCTGAAACTCAAAATCTGCATTTTTTTCATCATTCTTTAGATTTTTTTCCTGTTGATCTAAATTTTTATTTTTATTTTCAACTTTTTCAAGCATTTCTTTCTGTTCTTTTTCTTTATTCATTAGTTCTTGCTCATGAATATAATTTTTTCTTTTTTCTTTGTCTTTTTCAGCTTTTCTTTTTTTATATATTTTATGAGCATTTTGAACAGCTTGAACAACGTCTTTGGAGAGTGCATCAACATTATATGCTCCTTTGCAACTTCTTGCATATTCTTTTGATATTCTCAAAGCCATTAATGTTTCATCATTTAGATTTACTCTCCCAGGAGTCAATGTATTTTTGTTATCAGATAAACTTCGCTCAGCACTGGCATTTCCATTCTGAATTGTTAAACAGTTCTTAACAACTTTACTGAGATGCTCATACTTTGTTTTTCCATATTCGTTGTTACTTTTAAAAACTTTAGCCCAATAATGGTCTACTCTTTTTAGTTTTTTTGTATCAGAATCTAGATACCAGTCTTTTGATATATTAGCTGCTTGGTATAATTTCCATTCATCTTTCACAAATGATACCTGTACAAAAATTAAGATAAAATTTTTATGGAGTAAGTGTTAACATTTAAAATTAAAGGAAAATTTAATTATATTAAAATTAAAATAGTTCGTTAACTAATAATTTACAAACAATAATTTCTGATTTGTAAATTAAACTAAAAATTAGTAAATTTTGAAAATGTTAAATAATATATTTATATGGTTAACGTACTCTGCTATTTTAATTATATAGTAGATTATGTTAACAATATATATACTTATAATATTTAAAATTTTCAAATTTACTTATTATTAGTTTAATTTACAAATCAGAAATTAGGATATATATATATATATATATATATATATATATATATATATATATATATATATATATATATATATATTACAGTTATTTAATATAAATTTATTTAAGTATTCACCTCCCTTTCCGTAATTACATGTGGCATCGTAACTGCTATTCTCCCAATTGCATTAACAGTCCAAGTCTCTGATCTCATTTGAACACCCAAACAAGTCATATCTTTTAATATCTGCAAATCAAATGGAAGTTTTTTTTGCAAGTGTTTTACGACAGATATATATCCGTCTCTCATTTGCTGTAAGCAGACATATCTTTTTTTTCACATGATATTTTGTTCACCTAAAACATATTTATATTGAAAATCTACATCAATGAAAATGAATAAAAAAAACTTAATTTTCAATAATATAATATCTAATGATTAATACAATAAACAAAATAGTTTATATTGCCTAGTACATTTACTTATACATATTTACCAAGTACACATTTACCAGGTAGCAAATGTGCAACTGGTAAATGTAGCAAATGTGTACCTATCAAAAATTACCTGGTTTTTAGCTTCCTCGCCAAAGTCCATTTTATTCAAATCAAGGTGAATAGTTAAATCGGAAGAATCAATTTTTAAAAGATCTTTGGTAAGCTTTCTATTAACAGCAGTCGGCTGAAGAAAACGTTTCATTAAAGATATTAAAAGATTTTTCATTTTATAAAATAAAATATGAAAAAGTGGTCCTTCATCTTGAAATTTTGTCAAGTATTTCTCAAACAAGGGAGCTAAACCAATAAGGAATTTGATGGACACAAGTAACTCCTAAAATAATTAATTCTCTATTATATGTAATAATTAAAAATAATAATAATAAGAATAACTTTAATTACATTTTCAGTTTCCTTAAGACTTCTTTGAATCCGAATATAACGCTTGTTGTTTGTCAGTGTCTTTTATACTCCTTTTGTTTTGGAAAATATTTCAAAAAATATTTTTTGGTGTCTTCCCACTTTAATAAAACCTTTATAAGTGAAGAAGAAAGAGTAAGCCATCTAGTATTGATAAAACGAAGAAACAATGTTTCATCGTCAATAAAAATGCAATCTGATAATTTTTTAAAATCTTCTATTTTACAGGGTGCATTCTAAAAACAGAAAAAAAAAAATTGTATAGAGACACTACACTTTATTAGCTAAACGTATAATAGACTATTAGAATAAAAAATAATAATAATAATGTAAGAAAAATAACTTCATAGGTAAAATAAAAAATTCTCTTTTAGTATTAATTGCAGTAAAATCCCGTTAAGTTAGACTCTTACAGGGAATAGATAAATAGTCAGACTTAGCGAATGTCCGAATAAGCTAAGCTTTTTGTATGTATAGAAAGCTCAAGGGGAATTGAAAATCTGTCCGACTAAGTACAAATCCAACTTATCCAGGGTCCGAATTAATGAGATTCTACTGTATAAAATTACTCAAATCATTACCTTAAACCAGGTATGTAAATCAAATGCAAGCTGCTCAGCATCCTCACCGACAACATTAATTGCTTTTCGAAAAGCATTATGCACTGTGTGCAAAGTGCAACTTACAAATGGTAACAAGCCATTAAAACCATTACTATGAAGATCAGCATTAAACAATCTCCAAATGGCTTTTTTAATATTACGACCATCTGCTGAAATATTAAAAAGACGATCCCATGGTAATTAAAACCTTTCATTATGATGTAAATCTGCTAGCATTGTTTTGACATCTTCTGCTGTTGCTCTGCCAAAGAACAGCGATGTTAAATATTTTGTAACAACTTGGTTTTCGTCTTCTGACCTAAAAAGACATAAAAGATCCATTTGTTTTCTTTGTTGTGAAGTAGTTGTTTCATTAAACATTAAAGTGAATGCACCTTGACTTAACTTGATACTATTACATAAACGCTTTTCCAACAATGGCCCAAGATCATCTTGCAAAATATATGAAGCTTTTTGCCAACTCATATTAAAACCTTGACTTATTTAACTATCTGGAAACATTCTTTGGAACAATATTGGTGTGTTGTCACAATGTCTTAAGGCAAGATCATTCCCTCCCACTTTAAAAAGCCACATGGCTTTTGCAGCAGAAACTTTTTCATTTATAGAGAACTCTAATTGTATAACTTTTTCTTCCCCAATAGAGTTTTTGTTAGAATCTACATATAAATGAGAAGCAGTTTTTGAAAATCTTAGATCAGACACTTACTTATGTTTAGGTTTTGAAGAATGCTGATATAGTGCTTGGAAACCAACTGAACTGAATTTTAAATCACTTTTGCATAGTTTACAAATAGCATATTCAGAGTTTCTTTTTTCAGCCCATAATTGAATTTTCACTAGATTTTTGTTTAACTTTTCCAACCACACATCATTCCACTTAACCATTATACTATATAATCTATTGATAAATATACTAAAAACTAAATATAAAAATCACTAACTTTACTAATTCTATACTATAGAATGATTTATTTTTTTAAATAATAACACCAATTTAGCAATACAAATGGATAATTAAAATTAAAATGTGAATATAAAAGATTGTAACTGTTATTATAAAATAGTTTTGAAAATTAAATAAAAACTAACATAATGTCCAAAACAACTTAAAAATATCAAAAACAGCAATTCTAAGTATTTTTTTATAAAAAAAAACTTTAAAGTGTAAAAAAATTCAAGAAAAAAAATAAAAAAAATGACAGAAACTAACAAAAAAATGAAAAAAAATAAAGAAAAAAAAAAGAATCCAAAAAAAATGAAAAAAATGAAAAAAATGACGACTTGACAGCCTGAAATATAGGAGTTGGTTAAGTTACGTTTATATAAATGAAATAACAAAACGCGTAAACAACAATATAAAAAAATCGTTTTTTTAAATTAAAATAAGTTTTAATAAAATAAAAATATTATTAATATAATTTATTGGTAAAAAATCATTTAACAAAATTTTTTCACTTTACATTGTGTTTCATCATTCATAATGAGATCAATAAACAATACTCAGTGCTAACACAGAGTATTGTGAAACATGTTTCATCTATGAAGACTCATCATATATACTTTTTGAAAAAGTTTACACATTTAGAACAGTTTTGCTAACTTACATTATCACTCCTTTACTACCTTTTTTACAGCGTAATCCCAATTTTTGTTGGTAATTTTCAGCTATTTTCATTGGTTACCATAGCAACAAGCTACAATCTTACATCATTATTTTTTATAGTCAGTATAATATTTAGTGTTTGAATCAAGAAAAAAAGTAAGTAAATATGTGTTGTTTAAAAATTTGTAGGTTATTTGCCCAATTGAAATATGACATTAGGAAAGTATCTTTTGAAATAAGGAACTAATTTTCAAGCAAAATTCTTGCCTTAAAACAAGGAAATTAATATGTAATAGTTTTCTTTATATAGTCAATGTTGCATCAACGTATATAACGCAATTTGATGATTTATCGTAATATTATTGAGGCTAATAATTTTTTATATTTTTACTAGAGAAAATAAGAATGTCTCACTTTTACCTCTAGTAAAGAAATAAAATATTAAATGCCTGTAAGAATAATAGAGAGTATTTCTTTATTTTAAGACAGCGGATTGAGTAAAACTATTAACTATTATTGCACGTCTACTAATATATATTTTAACTCTTGTATAAAGTACACGCTAAAAAATTATGCTGTTATATTAAACAAAAGTATAACAGCATTGGGATGCGATATAACAGCATAAATGGCGTTATTTTGTGTCATTATGGTGTTAGATTTTTACCTTATATTAAGTTAAATAACAGCAAAAATAACAGCAAAATGCTGTTATATAAATTTAAATAATAATATAACAGCAAAATGCAGTTATATCGCTCTCCAATGGCGTTATATATGGCGTAATATTCAAAAATCAAGCTAACGGCATAATTTGCCGATATATTTTTTTAAACATGTTTAGTTTTTATTCAAATAAAATCTAAACAAACCATTTATTCGCGTAAATTATATATCTAAATAATAACAATAGTTTGATGTAGTAGTTTGATGTAGATTATTAAGGCGTAAAATATATATTACAAAATATTATACAATGACGAAATAAAATCACTTTTAACATAATTGTAAATAGAACACCGCAAATATACCTTGTAAAAACTAATTTCATATCAATGATAAGAATCTACTAATAAATTTTTATGTAACTGCTCAAACTAAGAAATAGGTTTCATATTTTTAAACATGTGTCAATAAATACATTTTCAAAACTTTACAGAATTAATTATTTCAATGAAAGCTTTATATCCCGACTTGTTCTTTAAGTAACAACTTAAATATAAAATGAAACATTTTAATAAATTAGTAAAGTAAACAACTAGCGTTACTTAAAGACATCCAAAAATTTAGTTAACCGTTTATATGAGCAATATAAGAGCAAGTCTTTTTTGATTTTTTTTCAAAGCATTCGTTTAGCAACACCTCATGAAAAAGACCCATCAGTTGTAAAAAGAAGATGGATAAGAGAGGTCTAACAAATAGTATATGCAAACAATAACGCATAAAACCTTTTTGACCGTCCGTAACTCTGTGTTGATCATTTCACACCCTGATCTACTGTGAACGCCATATTGTGTTAAGTTATACAGAACTTGCGGACCATACTTTGCAGGTACCTTTAATTCATCGAGCAGATTATCAGACTTAAAAAGCAAACAAATTAAATTATAATTTTACTATTTCTAGAAATTTAATTTAACTCAGGTATTTTCCAAATAAACCGCTAACTTGAAAAAGAGGACATGTTAAGTGAATATTTTCAGGATATGTCCCCTTTTTCAAATTAGCGATTTAAATATTTTAAAAGATTTTGTTGTACCAGATTAAATCGTTACTATTCTACACAAATAACTAAAAATTTGATTTTAATCTTTTCAGCTACTATTTCATGATTTTAATTCTTTTCAGCTTTTAATCTGTTTTTGCTTTATAATCTGGTCTTCTGAAAGCGCTAATTCAGCTTTAGATAATGAATCTATAATATAAACCTGTTGAAACTGTCTACTTGCAGATCCATTTAAAGTTGGATGACTTTTGATCCAACGTAGTTGCCTAATTATGTTTGATGCCTGGCTTAAAAACAAATCCTAGGAGTATTTATCTTTAAAAAACTATAAATACAACAACAACAAAAGCACTATATGCATACATCATAAACACACCTAACAAATATTGTAGAGTAATTAAAATAATTCTTACCGAAGGTTCCAAATAGTTTTGAAAATTTAAAAGAAGTGCCAACTGTCTGAAGGAAGAGCAACTTGAGAATACTGAAGAATATAATTTTTCAGGTGCTCTTTAAAAATATCATTGTTTTTACTTGTGTAAAAAGTTCAAAGTAGATATACTAAAAAAGGTCCTTAAGTGAGAAACCTCATCAGAATCAAATAGAACTGTTGAAGCCTAAAAAAAAAAAATTAACATAGTAAAATGTTTGACATAATAAATATACCATGCAGTTTTAAGTGATGAAGCATATAACTATATGTTATAGTTTTACAATAAAAAATAGAACAGTTATAATTTATTACCTTTCGTGGTGTCTCGAAGATGTTTTTAGATGCACTATATTGTATAACTGATGAAGATAATTGTCTTACCGGAAGCTGCACAACACTCATACAAGATTCTCCAGCCATATATTGGTTTTCTGAGTTCTAAGTTATTTTCTTTGGTGGAACCACAAAATCTACACAATTATTTAAAATAGATGAACTTTTGGCATGAGTTTAAATAAAACTGTGTCAGCTTTATTTAAATCAGATAGAAACCTAACTTGTTGTGAGTTGGATATATTGTTGTCGATACAAGATGTGGAGCTTGAATCGTAAGCTCTTTTGTACATTAAGAAGAGCAGTAAAACTATTAGCAGTTACTTAACAGCTGTTCCAATTAACTTCTACAATTATAGACAAATTGAAGGTTTCGTGAGCTAAAATAGAAAACAATGTAAATATAACTTAGCATCATTGGACAATCATCTTTACTACTAATTCAAACCGTTATACTAAAAAAGAAGTGACAAACTTTTTGGTTCTATAATTTTATTTTAACAGTTTGAAGAAAGTTATAAGGTATTTTTAGATTTTGATTTGAAATGATACAACACTTGATTTTTTTTTCAAATAAAATGCACGTTATTCAGTTATAACTGGATGCATGAGCGTTTTCTAATGATAACTTTCAATTTAAATTGTAAATACTCAATAACACAATGAATTAAAACAGATAAGTTTCATTACATTTTCTACAAGATCTTTAAAATTAAATATACTTACCAGCTGCACAAAATACAAAAAAATTACTGCTGATAGCAATAACTATTTCAGATTTTTCTTTAAAGTTAATCTTAATTGCTTTCATTTCATTTTCCTTTCACTTTTGCCATCTCGTGATACCGCTTTAAAATTAATGTGCCAGTTTCAACATTTTTTATTTATTGCAATGATATTTTGCTGATATATTTGCTGTCACGTGTGACATCAAATATAACAGCAAGTATAAATGCAAAACCATCAGTAAAAATAACAACAAACATCTTTAAATTTAACACCATAACATAACGCCATAACATAACAGCAAATATAACACCATTATAATGCCCAAATTGTTTTGTCTCAATTTCTTCGGATCCGTGAATATAACAGCATATATAACAGCATAACAGATTCTGCTTACATAAATGCGTGGGCTGCACTTCGTAATTCTCTCGACCAACAAATTCTTGATGATATGGTCTAAATAAGTAAAAAAGAACCACACAAAGAAAGGCCAAAATTACTCATAAAAAAACATATAATATCACCTACGCTCCTTTTCTATGATTTCATTTTGTAATTAATTACTTAAATCTTGACTGCCATTAAACATAAATCTCAATATGAGCAGAATGTGATTTTGCACAATAAAAAATCTCCTTAACATATGAAACATAATTTTGTTTACAGAAAATTGACCCAATCATTTGTATAATCATATAAAAATTTGCAGAATAATTTTGTTGAAACAAGCTTATATTTTGTTTTGAAAATATTTTTCAAATTAAGCACCAGCATTCTGAAGCAGTCATTTGTAATCGTAGTTCAAAAGATGCAAGAGTTGTGAGTCGGCTTTGTATGTCAGAAGAAAAGATTTTTATTTATTGTAATATGAATAATTAATATGAAAAGATTTAATGGTTTCACAACAAAAAGCTGAAGCATAACAAACCTGAAAAATTTAATTCAATTTTGACTCAACTGCTAACTGTTTCTGTATACAATTATCTTGGGAACACGTACTACTGTTCATATTCTAAAAATCAAGCTGATTAAAAAAATTACATTTGATTTATTGCTAACTGAATAAGGCTTTAAAAAGCTGAATAACAATTTCTAATTTACAACAACACAATTAAAAGTAAAAATACAATACCTGTTAATTATCTGTTGCTTTAAAGGTATTGGCGCAGTAATTTGTTGCTACCAACCAAAAGCTCTCAATAAATTGCAACCAACAGGAATTTTACATTAATTATTTAAAAATATTTTAAAGGAACTAAAATAAAAAATAAAATAAAAGGCAATAAGTGAAACCTAAAATGGTTTCATTACTTGCCTTTTATTAAACCTAAAAATATTTAGACATGAATTTATTTAATACCATACATTTTTTTTACTTATTACGATACCAAATGCTGCTAAATTTTCCTTGCTACAATTTAACTGTGATAATTTTTTTTTACCATGACATAGAATTTTGTTTTCTTGAGGAAATATATTGAGGGGATTACTTTTTTAATGAACTTCCGCTTCCATAATTTAATGAACAAATATATCCATATATATATATATAATATATATATATATATATATATATATATATATATATATATATATATATATATATATGTGTATATATATATATATATATATATATATATATATATATGTGTGTGTGTGTGTATATATATATATATATATATATATATATATATATATATATATATATATATATATATATATATATATATATATATAAAGCAATACTTTTTTAACTGGTTTAAATCATTTTTTTATAAATAACAAAATTAATAAGTGCAATGGGCACAAAAATAAATTATGATCATTGTCATCATTATCATCATCATCATCATCATCATCATCATCATCATCATCATCATCATCATCATCATCATCATCATCATCATCAACATCATCCTCATCATCATCAATATCATCATTATCATCATTATATCATTATTATTCGCTTACTACCAATAGATGTACCTTAATGATATAAAGGGTAAGTATCAGAAAGAAACTAATTTCTTAAAGTATGGGTTATAAAAAAAAGGAATAGAGAAGTTTCAATTTGTATTTGTTATCTTTTCACACATGGAGCAATACCAGTTTGTATCATTATTATTAAGAACATCATCTGAAATTCTTTCACACATTCTGTGAAACCACTGCAAACAACCTGAGCATTCAACCATGTGTCTAAAAAATAAAGTATCATTTTAAAATAATGACTTTTAATATAGTTAAGTAGTTACCATCAACAAGCTTGAGGGGTTTAATAAGGGTTGGATTGAAATACTTGCTTGTATTTGGTAACAACATGCTATTTTGTTGTATTTGTATTGTAGTTGATTAAAAAAACTCAAACTAATTATTTTTAAAATGATTTAATTTATATATTTTCAACAATGACTATTAACAATGAACATTCTAATTTAATGTATTGGTTACTTATACTTTTTATATGATATAAATTTACTCAAATTATATTTTAATTCAAGCCAGTTTTATTATTATGTAATTTTATTATTTAAAATTATTATTGTATAAGATAATAAATATAAAAATCTTATAACATAGTAAAATGATAAAAATGCTAACTTTCCAAAGATGTTTTTATCAGATGGAACCCAAATCATTCTGCAAGTGCAGTATATATCTAAACTTAATTCTTTTTGTACATTCCGTTTGGCAGTCTTTTCAGTAGTTGAAAATAAACTTAAAAAGTTGCTTTGGAAAGAGATAAGCAGCTCCTTTCTAAGCTTTGTTTCATCAAAATTTACTTTCGTCGGATAGTCCTTAAAATATAACAGGCACTGTAAAAAAGCGATTGCATATATTCCGCAGTCAATACCATTTGTTTGCTGTTGAACGGGCAAAATTGTAACTTTTATTTTGTCTAATGGGCAATGAATTATAGAAGATATCTGTCTCATAGTGGCATGGCTAAGTTTACCTGTAAAATGACTATCCACAACAAAGGCATGCCCTGGTTCACACCTTACAGTACTGATCGCAAACCAATGAGCACACCCATTATGTAACACTTGGACAAACTCTTTATTTTTTAAAATTGCAAAACTTAGATTTTGTCCAAAAATAGGATTTTGCAGACCTTTAGTATTTGGGTATTGTTGTAACAACATTTTTTGTGCAGCATTAGTTATGTTGTCCGTTAGCATTTCATTATTACAAATTGTGCTTAAGTCTTGTCTGGTGATAGGACAACAAAGATTCAAAACATATAGTTCTTGGCTGTTGTCTTTTATTGCAATCATTTTCTCAAACTCTTCTTTTGACGTTACATGTTTATTTGGTACATTACAATTAAATGAAGTCAGACCATCTAGATCCAAGTCTGTTATGATAACTTCCTCTTCAACATTGACAACAGGACAGTCTAATGTTGTAATTTTTATCTTTTCTCCAGCTTTTTTTTTGTCCTTAGCTATTCCACAATGATTTGAATAAGACTTTTTTTTTACCCCTTTTTGGCAAATCTAAAATGTGACAGTATTTAGCAGGCTGCTGCTGACTGATAGGTATTCCACTCTCATTCTCCACATCCATTAGCAGACTATATACTTTTTCAAAAACATCAACATTTTTGTTTACATTATACAATTGATTTTTAATTACATTAAGTAGCTCTCTACAGTTCCCAGCAGAAACGCTTTCTTTATTTAAACTATTACTACAAATGTTTTCTTCATTTATTTCTTCTGATTCTACTATCTTTTTAGAATCGGTAAAATTAGTGTCACATTTGTCTTTTGTAGATGTAACTTCCTCATTTTGAAAATGAATTTCTTCATTGTCTAATGTTAGGAATGGTGAATTGCGATATATTAGTGGTAATGCATCACATTGCCAGAGTGGGAACTTTCTAAAAATTGCAAAAAAATGCTTGCATGGATAACAAGATAAACGCCATGAAGAGCATGTGCAGTTTGGCATATTTCTATCATTTCCAAAATCAATTTGGTAGTTTACTGTAACACCTTTAATGGAGAATATACCATGATTTATCATTGATACCTTACCTAAATCCAAGCTTTCAGCAAGATTGATTTTTTTAAGGCAATGTGTAACCATTTCACGAGGTCGATTTATTAGGAAACTTGGTATTATCTTTGCATAACGACGATACCTAGAATCCATTTTGAAGTTTTTTTTAATATAGCTAAAAAAAAAAAGAGCAAAGGAATAAATAATAAAACTTAAAACAATTTGTTGCACAATGTGACATTAAACAACCTTTGGTATTTATCTGGAAAAAAAGATAGTTAGCATTCCAGTTAATGAAGAACTATTAAATTGTTGGAGATAAGAATATTTAAATGATTTATTTTGTCTTTCGACTCCATTATTTGTGTTTAAATTCACTAGTAGACAGTTTTGACGGTATGCCCAAACCCAACGCTAAAAAGTGTAAAATACAAAATAAATTATATAGCTTTTTATTATGCTACAGAATAACAGAATAATTTCCTGCTTCATTTTTGGACATAAAATTCAGGAAGAATCTATTTTTAATTAAAATATTTAATGATATAATACCTCAATAATCGTTAACCAATAAGTCTCTATATACTTTTTCAACTTTATAAAATCTTTCATTACTCCAATATTCAGACTGTTTTAAGTCCAGAATAGCTAACTTCATTGCATCAACATTTGTTGAATGAGAAATCTTTCTTAGCTTTTGGAGGATATCTGCTTTTTGATCAGCACAATCGTTTGATACTTTTACTAACCAACGCTCCCAGGCCTGTTCACGATGGAAGTCGCAAATCAAAACTTTACAACCTGAGCAAAAAATTTGAATTAGTTACTTCACAAATAAATCTAATTAAAGAAATTTTAACAAATCTATTTTCCACTATTTCTCATAACAGCATCATTTTTACTATACTACTGTATAATCGAATGTTAATGTATAATTAAATCGAATGTTAATGGGAGAAATAAAGGTTCAAATCGGAGGGATTTTTTTTTATTGAAAGTTAAATATATTATGAGTTAATTTTATACAGTTACAAAAAAAGTCAGTAATTCTAGATTTTTTTTTATAACCTTATAAATCTATATCAACAACAAGAAATTGGTGTCATTAAAAAAGCTTTATATTTACAAGCCTTACTATTATATTATAAATTTTAATTTTTTAAGGTGGTACACCACCAAATATATAAAAACATTCAAACTTAAAAAAAAAAATTATATCAATGAAAATTACATTAATTTAGAATGCTATTTTATAATTCATTACACATTACCTCGATTACTTTGCCTCAGATTTATCGAAAAACATTTTAATGGGTTTTTTCAAAACATGATAACTTGAAACATATTAATAAAAAATCCATGAAATTTTTCACATATGTTCTGGACAAGTAAGGTAAGGTATCGACATTTGGATTTTAAGATTTTCAAACTACATAAAAAATTGTATCACTTTTTTTTACGTCAAGCAATGAAAAAAACTATTTTAGAATATAAAACCAAATATAAAGAGATTGGAGCAGAATTTAAAAATTTTGAAATGTTACTCCATAAAATTTTGAAATGTTACTCCATAAAAAATAGTATAATAAATATATCCTGAAAGTTTGAAGTGATTTGCACTTCTGCTTCAAAAGATATCATGTTGATAATCAGACAATATTTAGAAAAATTAGAAAACGGAGAAAAACACAAAATAAGATTAAATACTCTTGTGATTCCTATACAAACTTATTTTAGCCAGTTTATTTATCTAAAGATAAAAAAATAAGATGGGAATTAGCTTTTTATATTATTAATCTACAATAAATTGCCTTTTAAATGAGCTAAATATCAAAATTTTACTTTTTTTTTTTAAATTTTAAGAAAATATTTAGTGTTGTACCACCTTAAATTGTCTCTAAAGTTGTTGCACATATTTTTGCCTAATTTTTTTTCACCTAAGTGTGTAATAAATGTTTTTAAACATAAGAAATTAATTCATGCTAATATTTTTTCACAAACTTAAAAAATTTAATCAAAGAGTTCAATCATTATAAAGCAGATTATGCCACAAATATTAAAAACAGCTTGAATTAAGGAGAGGAGATTACTGATGGGTTTTAAAACCCATCCAGTTTAAAGGGGTTTTCAAATTATGTAGATTCAAAATAGAGTACATTAAAATAATGTATTTCTAACCCTGAGAAACTTTTTTCAGGCTAATAATCTAAAAAACTTACCAGGAAAAATTTCTTCTAAAGCATCAATTTCCTCATTGCAATAATCCGTCATGCAAAAAGATGGAGAAAGTTTCACATTCATTCTTTTGAAAACACGCAAAGCTTCACATATTGCTCGTTTTGTTTCGTTCTCAGTGATAAAGTACCCAACTATTTGGTAGTCAACATTTGTTTTGACTACTAAAAAGAAAGCAAGTAAAACATATCTCGTTGTTTTATAAGTTGCATCTAATAAGAGCATTTCATTTCCATATCGACGCACAAGTTTGCATTGCCATTCTGATTGATAAACAAATAAAAGTGAGTTTTCAGAATCATTTTCAGTAAACTTTAGGTCCTCATCTGTTTCAGTACTATCTTCATTATTAATTTCATTTTGAATTATTGTATCTGTTGCATCATTTTTTTTCAAGTTGTTTTTAGGGCGAAAAAAAATATTTACAGATGGATCATCTTTTTTGCCATGCCTTAATTTTATTAAGAAGGCTTTCCTGATCAATTAAAGAAAGTTGTCATTTTTTTCGTGCTGCAACCATATGCACTCGAATAATATTGTTGCTTGGAAAAAATCGCCTATTATTTATATCAGGCATATCACTTTTATCAAACAGGTAATTTCTTACAAAGATTTTTAATAGACGCCTCATTTCTCGAACATTTTTGATTTCATTAGCATAACTTATAATTTTTTTAGATAACCTAGGATCTATTTCCTGTGAAATACCAGCAAGCTACATAAAGAAGAATAACGAAGACATATTTTGTCATTTAGCTAAAATACATTACATTGCTAAACTTACCTATTTAATTACTTTAATCCACCATAACACAACATAAATATATTAAAAAATAAAAATAACTTACTTCTCCAAACCCATGGTTTCTATGTTCTGAAATGTCATCTACAATAAGCATAATTCTCTTCTTAGTCATACCAATATCACCTTTTACTTTTAACAAATTTCTTATTTGCAAAGAGGTAATTCTCTTTTTCCATTCTGTGGGTTCTGTAAGCTTTTAATTAAGAGATGATAAATAAAATAAAAAAGATGCAATAAGTGGCTCTAAATATATAGCTCTTAAAGAAACAGTTCTAAAAGTCATAGATTTTTTTCAAACTATTTACATGGATGTACGAATTTCTATCAATTAGAGTAAATTGTTTAGAAAATACCTTATAATCTTTGAAATATATAATTTCCTTCATAGAAATTTGTGCTGGACATTGGAATTTTTTTGTGTCTTGCACACTAAAATAACTTTTTTGACAAGAGTGTTCAGTTTTCTAAAATTATTCTAGCAATACTTTAGTAAGTTAAATATTTTTTATAAAACTACAACTTAGAATAAAAGTGTTATAAACAATGGAGTTTACCTTTGCTTTTGTTTTATCCTTGTATGTTTTTTTTCTTGCATTATTGCATCTGTTCCATGTGAACAATCTAAAACTTTCTGTGCTAAAACCATGAAAGGCACTTCTGCATAAGATCATTCAGTTTCCCATAAAACTTTATGATTTTCACTATGTACATCTAAATGTGACAGGGTCTGCTTTATACTGAAAGCATTTATACAAAAAATGATACAATAAGCTAACCAAACTTCAATGAAAAACATTAAATTTACAGTAAACAATTAATAATTTAAACATTCACTTACAAATTCTAGTAAAGTAGAACCATTTTACAAAGAACCATATGAAAAGAAATTGAAATAAAGTATGACAATGCAATGAAATTTAAATATTAACAATTTTTAAATGTTCGATTTAGAGCAGTAGCTTATTTGTATAACTTTTACTATCATGTATTGGATTATTATATTTTGAAGCCACTGTTTACATTTATATCAAATTTTTTACATCAAAGAAAGTAATTTTGGTTTATAGAAAATTTGAGAAAAATGTTTGAAGTTTGAGATTGAAGTCTGCCATGAACTATTTAATTTTTAGTTAATAAAATTAAATAGTTCATGGCAGACTTCTTTTAAACAAGCTTTTAAACTGGATAAAAAATAATTACAAAAATTTTTTACTCAAGGAGAAGCAAAAATAATAACTGCAAAAAAATGGTAACATAATTGCAAACGATAGAGGCATGATTTTAAAGCTGAGAAAATGTGACATTTAATTTTTTTCAATTTATAGCGTGTACACGAAATAAATGTGAAAGAGTAAATACGTAATTTTTTTTCAGTGCTTGTATTAATATATTTTTAATTGTGTTTGTATTTTGCTGGCAGTATGTAATGATTGCAAAATAGGCTTTTAATTTTCTCATTTAACTTAAAATAAGTTTTAAAAATGGCGAAAGAAGAAGACACTCAAAAAAAAATACTTTGCACAAAATTTATTAAAAATCTGAATTTAGCTACAATTCAGTAGCAAAAAAGTTGCAATTACATTTCTACAACGTCAGTCATGTTATTTAATGTTTTCCCTAAACAAAATCAATCAAATGCAAATCTGAAACTTATATATAGTATGATCATCAGCAAATCCGTTGATTTTGCAAGCTATTTGCAGTTATAACAAAAAATCAGCACCCTATACTTCTTAATCCACACTTTTTGGTATAATATATGTTAAATCATGTTAACAAAAACATCTTTTACCTCCTACAAAATCACATGATAGTAGACATGTATTCTGGCCTGATTTATCATCAAGTCATCACAGCAAACTGGCTATGAGATGGTATAAAAAAAGATAACCTGAAAGTTTTCTAAGTTAGCAAATCCTTCTAACTGCCTAGAATTAAAAATTATTGCAAAGTACTGGGTAACCATTAGACGACAAATAAAAAACAAATTAAATAAACTATGCAGAAACACTAAAGATTTGAAAATTTTATTTAAAAAACATCAAATAGTTTTGATTTTTGATCTGTGTGCAAGCTTATGTATACCACCAAAACAAAAGTTTGAAATTTTATTAGATATCAAAAGGAATAAATTAATTTCTTTGAAATATTTTATCTTCTTATATTAATGTATTAAAATTAATACTTAGCTCCCAATAAAAGTCAATGAGTACCTTTTTATAGCTACTTTTTTACTTTCACACTTATTTTGTGTTCATGCTTTATAATATATTTTATTTACTTTTTAAACTATTTTCACTTACTTTGGAAAGTTTGTGTTAAAGAATTTTGTGACAACTCAAACTCAAACATTTGCATCTAAAGTTGATATTAAATAAATCAAAAAAAGGTTCAAAACCTGTGTTACCAAATCCTTTGGGTGTAAACCATGCTACAAAGCGAACAGTGTGTTCTAGTTCGTATTGTTTTATGTAACACAAGGCCTCATTTTCATCTTCATAAAGAATTATATGACTTTTTCTTTTAGCTATAAAAAATTCCCATTATTAACATCTTCTAACTCTGAAAAGAAAAAAAAATTCAAACTAAACTTTAGCAAAAGTTTGGTTTGAATTTTTTTAAACCAAACTTTAGCAAAAGTTTGGTTTGAATTTTTTACAAAGCAATAAAACCTCAATAAAACTTTATTGAAGTTTTATTGCTTTGTAAATTTTATCAATTTAAATTTATTTATAAACCATGGTATATTAGTAAAAAATATTGAAATTGATATCATATTGTACAATAAGTACTTATTGTACAATATGATATATCAAATTCAATATTTTTTACTAATATACCATGGTATATAAATAAATGGTATATAAATACACCTCTATTCTTAACTAAGTAAGAAAATACATTACCGAAAATCTTTTTTAGAAAATGTAAAAAATCTTCGTGAAACTTAGAAAAGGCATAAAAAGTCTAACAAAAGTATCAAAAGTATGTCAAAAGTATCAGTAATTTACCTCCAAATTACATTCAAGTAAATGAAACATTCATATCTAAACCAATTCTTATCTGAGAAGAATTTAACAACTTTTTCACTAATGTTACTCATAAACTTAATTGTAAAAATCATCATTCAACATTAGTTATAAAAAGTATTTTAAGCATTTTTTCTCCAACAAACCGATCTAAAATCAAATAACTTATATCTAAATTAAAACCTAGAAAATCTAGGACCTATATCCTAACAGCATCCCCTAAAACAATCTTATTGACTTTAATTTTAAATTTTCTCACATTCTTCCTAAGCTATTTAGTATTTTCTTCTTTAATGGAATTTTTCTGACATTTAGAAATGATCTTGTGTCATTTCAATAAATATAAATTTCTCAAAACTCTTAAGTACTAACTATAAACGAATTTCTATTCTATCTAACATTAGCTTCTTGAAAAACTAATGTATTCTAGATTTCGATCAAAACATTCTACTTGCCACGCTTTAATGAGTATAATCAAAAAAGTTAAAAAGAATTGGATACTGATCATTTAGCCGGAGGTGTTTATATCAACTTACAAAATGTGTCGCATTTCTCATAATGATTATGGTTTAAGACATTAACTTCAATCTTTATTCCCTTGAATGCTGTAGAATAAAGTTCGACCTAAAATAACCTACAAAAATAGTACACAACCTTGTGGACTTTCCTTTTTTAAAGTTTTTTATATTTGTTCTAACTTACTATTCAATAAGATGTTATTCGCAAACCTTTGCGAATAATATCGTACTATTTTTGTAGCAAAAATAACAATAATATATGGAATTTTTTTTCTGCGAGATAATAATTAAAATATGGAATTCTCTTCAAGGCTGTATAGTTTATTCATTTTTATTGTCTGTGTTTAAATCAAATTTAAAAACGTTCAATGTTCAGAATTACTGTGTAGGGTATTAATTAAATTGATGTTTATTGTAATTTTGTCGCATAAGAATGATAGGGTTCTCTCCGCGTTTTTTTTTTGTTGTGAGATTTTAATTTTCAATATTAAATTATTAAAATATTCTACTGCTGTTGTTCTTTATAATTATAAGTTATAAGTCGTTTCAGTAGCGTAGCGACAAAAAGTTGGTCTTGTATGTTACATATAATATAGATAAGAATTTGTAATTCTTAGCTGTACAATAATAGCAAAAATGTGATTAAATATTTTTGAAAAATTTGGCTTGGGCTCCTAATAAGTCTGGGTCATCCCGCGGCTGCGGGCCCTGCGGGCCCATCGCTACGCTTCTTAGTCGTTTATGTTATTAATGTTTTATTATTATATATATATTTTTATTCATATCATTTTTTGAATTATTTGGTTTTATTATTACTGTTAATTAATACTTTAATTGTTAAACTTTTTATCATAAAAAAAGGCAGATAGAACCATATAATTATCATATGATGATATGTTAATCTTGGTTTTAAATAAGTTACGTAAGTTACACCCATATTAGCTGTATCACTATTTTAATTTTTATTTATATGCAAAAAAATAAAAAAATAAAAAAACGAAGTTAACTAGTGCTGCAAAATGGGTTTTTCTTACAATGTAATATATCCGATTGTTCGCTTTATTGATTTATTTTTAATTCTGGTTTCAGCTTCTGGTTTAGATGACATAAAAAGCTTGGTAAAAAAATGGCAACAGAAGCAATAAAAAAGACTTACTAGAAATGTTGTCGTGAAATTGCCTTGCACTTGCCTTAGAAACAAATGATTCGTGGTTCAAACTCCACCTCTGGGGACATCGGTTAGGAAGGAGGCGTGAACTTCCAATTAAACGCTCATCCGCGGTGCTCTGTGATAATACGGTAAGGACTTCTTGGGGCACCTAAAATAAAAAAATTAAAAAAAAAAAATTGTGAGCTTTTTTAAGAAACATTAAAGATTGTTAAGTGCGCGACATGTGCTACCCAAATTTGCTAAAAACAAGGTTTTCCAAATTTACTCTTGAAACGGACACAGTCCGTTTTAAAACACGTAACATATAGTAACTATCGCGCTGTGACTAGAGTTCTGGCCTAAGTTCTGACCTTCAAGATTCTATACCGGCTCTGGAAAAAATAGCGCAAAATTAGTAAAGAAAGAAGTGCAAATTTTCTACTTAAATGCTCTTCCACGATGCTCTGAAAAAATCGTTAGGTATTCTTGGTGCACCTAGATAGCTAAAAAAATATGTTGGTTTAAACTTAATTTAAACAAATCTTTTCTTTCAACTAATGTTTTTTGCATAGTTTAACGTAGCTTTCTGATAATAAAGGTCTATGCACTTGAGTCAATTTCATGTTACAAAACTGATTCTTGACGAGTACATTGTCTTTCAAATAACGAAATTTTTAATCAAAATCCATTTATCTACATTAAAGCTAATTTATTTGTTTACAGTCTTAAAGTATACTTGTAATAATTAATACCATACTTATAAAAATATTTCAAGTAATACCTTTCTATAAATAATGACTTGAAAGAATAAAATTGACAAAATTGAAAACTTATTTAAAAAACTCAAGTTACATCGTTAAATATTTGAGTGAGTCTATCTCGCACGTACAAATAGGCTACATTTATTAAAGTTTATTTACGCATTAGAAAATAATTTTTAAAAAAGTTGATTTAGTAATGAAATTTTTTTATAATGTTATAATAATAACTTTTTATAAATATTTTTATAATGAAAATTAACAAAAATTTATAATTTATAATTTAGGTATATTTTAAAAGCAATTTAAACTAAAGTAATAGTAAAAAAATTAACGTTAACCAAATATAATTAATAGATTAATTAAAGTTTGAAAAGTACTTTAAACTAAAAGTAGAAAACGGCCACCCCCCAAATCCACCATATTAAGATATGTTATTTTGGACAAGGGTAAAATAAGACGTGGGCATGGGACCTAAATAAGACATATTTTGAACGCTTAAAGGATGTTTAAAACGTTTAAAAGACGTCTTTTTTACGTCCTGTGTCCACTGGGTAAGATGTAAAATGCGGCAATATAGTGCGGGAAATTTTTCCTAATTTTTATCTATTGCTACTTTAACCCAAATTGTCAATTGATATAGCATCACTTTTTTGGTTCTTCTCATTAAATCAGTCGACGCACTTAATACCCTAACTTTATTTTCGCAATTTATTCCCGTACTTTACCCCGTTGAAAGTTTCTACATTTTTTCAATGTCTTAAAGTGGAAAACCCCTCAAAAAATTATTTTTTAGACAAAAGCATTATCAAAGTTGTTGCATATTTCAAATAAAAGCATATAGAATGTAAATAAGAATTATCATAAAATGTGGTACCTTCTTGTCATGAAACACCGTAACTAAGGAAAAAAGTAAAAATAACTCTCTCTCTCTTTTCCTTAGTAAAGATTACAGTTGATCAGATTGGTATCTTATATAATCCATATAAAAAATTTTATTAATGATATTACCTTTTTTTCAGAATGGTATGTGTATGTGTGTGATATTTATTTATTTTTTATTAGTGTAGAAAATTTAAGCAGTTTAGCAATTTGCTTTTTGGTTTATCATTTATTAAAATTTATATAAAACAATCCTATGCATTTCATCATATAGTTTATATATTTACGTCTTTATAAACAGATATTTGTAAATCACGATTTTATAAAAATGGGACTCGATGGTTAGACATTATGTCTCTATAAAATAGATCTATAAAATAAGCAGACATACTTACAACCTTTGTGGCAGTTGATAGACATGTTTGATTTTAGATTCATTTTAAGCACTAAAATGATCAAGTTTTTCTAAAATTGCTTTTGTTTAAATAATGGTAAAAAAAATTTATTTTTTTTACTTATTATTTTTTTAAATTATTTTTTTTAATGTTTATTGTATATATCTTTATAAGAGAAACATATTCAGAAAATTTTATACTAATTGGTTTTGCGATTTTGCCAGGGGGTATACCCCAACTATATTTTGAGAAAAATTTAAAAACGCAAAAATTTGAAAAATAAAATACTAAACAAATAATAGCAATACAATATATATCATATGAAAAGAGTATGTTATGATTAGTTTTTAATGATGGACATCAGCCTCGTTTGAACATCAGGCTCGTACATATTTCTTTCTATATTTGCAGCTTCTCAAAACTTTCCTTGTTTTTTATGATAATGCCTTGCTTTTTATAAATTTTATACATACTGTCATTTTTCTGGTTCAAATAATTGCAATCGAAAATGCTATGCTGTTATGGTATCATATATACTTATAAAATATCAGAACTGATTCTCTGTTACAGTTAAAAAATGCAGTACGAGTTTAAATCTTAGATTTGCTTGAAGATTTTTTTCTCCTTAATAAATCTGAAACGCATTTTCTGCATCTTTAATCTCTGTTTTGATAATTTTTTTTTCATTGAGAAAAAGACGTTTGCTAATAATTAGCAAATAATTATCTGGCCTATCGGGTAATCCAGCATTGCTTACTACTAAAAAAAAATGCAATGACTTCTTGAATTCTTGAATTGAATTCTTGAATGACTTCTTGAATTCTTCAATGAATTATTGCAAAGTCATTACATTTTTTGTTTTAGTGTTATGCAATGCTCAATCACCCGATAGACCAGACCAGGTTGTGGCCTGATGACCATAATAGTCATGGCCAACGACACGGGTTTTAAATAGGGGGGGAGGGGGGATCGGAGCACAATAGTCAATTTCTAAAAAAGGTTTTCCATATCCCGAATTTTCCACAAAAAAAAGGGTCCTTTAGAGAAAAAGTGGGGGACACGTGATCCCCCTTTGCCCCGGCTTCGTTGGCCCTGATAGTTAGGGGCTTCTAAAAAGTTGATTGTAAAACCATATTTTTTAATTTGTATAATATTTAAATATATATCTAGGAATGCAAATGACTAACTCTAATCCCAATGAACATGGTATATATATATATATATATATATATATATATATATATATATATATATATATATATATATATATATATATATATATATATATATATATATATATATATATATATGTATATATATATATATATATATATATATATATATATATATATATATATATATATATATATATATATATATATATATATATATATATATATATATATATATATATATATATATATATATATATAGTTAATAAAGTTCTTCAAGAAGACCTATTAGTCTTATTACAGAGCATTGCGGAAGAGCATTAAACTTGGAAATTTACGCCTCTTTCCATACCAATTTCGCTTATCGGATTAGAACCTGCGTTGAACTGCAAGCCTTTAGGTTCTGAGCTAAAATTATAATTACTGCGCCGTGACTGATCTATATTTCATTTGCAAGACATTCAGTTTAATGTCTACTTTTAACTATTTGAGAGGAATTTTCAGCAATCTCATTTAATGATAACAAAACTCATTAAAAGAATTGACAACTGCTTTTGTGGCATCATTTGCGTGAGCTTCTTACGCGAATCATTGTCATTAGTGGCATCATTTGTGTTAGAAGCTCTCGCTAATGAAGTCACTGAAACAGTTCAAAATTCTTTGAATGCAATTTTGACAGTAATAAATGAGATGACGAAAAACTCTTTCAAAAAAAAAATTTAAAGCAGTTATTAAATTGAATCGCAAATCAGAACTTTTGAACTTGTCTTTATAACAGTATTGTGGAGCAATACTATTAAGGAGGTTTTAAATAGTTTTCGTTCATAAAGCTCAAGTTTTGAAACCAATTAGTTCTAAATAACGAGCAAAGCTCTTTATTTAGAACTAATTGATTTCAAAACTTAAGCTTTCATTGTTTCCATGAAAGGTATTGATTGTGAATTGAGTTCGTCTACAAAGAAGAATTCGAACAATAGGGGTGCCTTGCAGGTTGTATTACAGATGCTAAGGTTGCTTAACTTTATTGTTCCTACTTTGCAGTACTTTGTTTACAGGGAGTTATGTAGATTGTAATGCTAATGCTAATTTTTTAAAACATATTCGAAATTATAATGCCTGCCTTTCTTTTGCTTCTTTTACAGCAAATGTAGTTCAACCAATGAATCATGGGCTTCCATGTTTTAAAATATGTGGCCAGATTTTTCATCGTGTAGGTAATCTTAGGCCAGATCAAGATATTCCACCAATATATTCTCAACTATATATTTATGATCCACTTGCTGCACTAAATTTTAGAATGCAACGACGTGGTAATGATCTTTGTTTATGTGATTTAATGTGTCAATTGCAAACTATAATTATGGAACAAAGTCCATTTGCTCTTGCATTTAAAAACATGGCTGAAGTAGAAGATGAAAAAATTCGTAAGGGCGGCTATAGAAGGTCGCTCAGCTTCTGTAGTAAAAATATCTTTACTTGAAGGCGGTGATGACGTCATTATAATCTACCTTCACATGATGAAGTTGCAGTAGTATTTGTTGGCGAAGATGGTGCTCCCCCAACTTCCAGGGAAGTTGTTATTTACCCAAGAGGTCATCCTTTAAAAATTGTATCAAGTATGTCAGCCAACTTGGATCTTATTGTTTATCCGCTATTTTTCCCAAGAGGTTATGCTGGTTGGCATAATCAGTTGGTGAAAAACCCTGAGCGTGCCACACTGGTTAGAAATCATGTTACATTATCTCAGTTCTACAATTATAGACTTTCTGTTAGGCAATTTTTCTGTTCATTATTTTATGGCAAGAAACTATTTCAGCAATTTGCTGTAGATGCATATGTAAAAATTGAAGGCCAGCGTCTTGCTTTTATCAGAAATAATCAAAATAAGCTGAGAAGCGAGCAGTATGATGCCTTACATAAACATGTTAGCAACATTGCCAATGATCTGAACGAGTAGTAGTTTTGCCATCATCTTATGTAGGAAGTCCTAGAGCTTTAAAAGAAAACTTTGAAGATGCTATGGCAATTATTAAAAAGTATGGTAAACCAGACCTTTTTATTACTTTTACTTGCTACCCAAAATGGCGTGAAATAACAGAAAATTTATATCCGGGTCAGAATGCGAATGATAGACCTGATTTGGTTACTCGAGTATTTAAACTCAAGTTAAATAACCTCCTCAATGATATATTCAAACATGGTGTATTAGGCAAAGTTGTAACGCATGTTCAGGTTATTGAGTTTCAAAAGCGTGGTTTGCCGCATGCCCACATTTTACTTCATTTAGCAAATGATGATAAACTTGAAACATCACAGGATATCAATAATTTGATTTGTGCAGAAATTCCAGATCCGATAGTTGATTGTGAACTTTATGATATTATCAAAACTTGCATGATTCACGGCCCATGTGAGATACTGAATGATACATATGTTACGCACTATTATCCGTCTAAAGGTTCATCTTCCTGAGAATCAGATTGTGTATTTTGGAGAAGGAGAAGAACAAGTGGCTTTAGATCGTGCTGCTCAACGTGATACACACCTTACGGTCTGGTTTAAATTGAATTCTGAAAATGAAGGAGCCCATCGCTACTCATATGTTGACATTCCATATCACTTTGTATTTGATGATAAACATTGTAAATGGAAGGTTAGACAAAGAGATGGAAATAAGGTGATAGTAAGAATGTGTAAAGTTAGTCCAACAGAAGAATTATTTTTTCTTAGATTGTTACTTTTGCAGGCAAAAGGAGCAACATCTTGGGAGGATTTGCGTACTGTTAATGGAATAGTTCTTGAAACCTTTCGTGAAGCGTGTGTTTTTAATGGTTTGTTGCAAGATGACACTGAATGGCAGAATACTCTTTCTGAGGCAGTTTTAACGCGAATGCCTAAACAAATTAGGCAGCTGTTTTCAATTATTTTAACCTTTTGTGAACCTGATGACCCTTTGCATCTTTGGAATACATACAAAGCTTTTATGATGGAGGATTTCATTCATCGCCAAGTTCCATTTATATTAGCTGAACAAGCTACTCTTCTTCAAATAGAAAAGGTTATTAATCAAAGTGGTAAAACGCTATCCGATTATAATTTGCCTGTTGTTGATGAATTCATAGATTTTAATCTAGAAAATTTAAATGATAATGTTCAGCAATCAATTGACGAAGCTAATAGAATGAGACCGCTTCTTAATGTCAATCATTTAAATGTAAGTAATGCTGTCTATGCTGCATTGAACGAGCAACCAAGTGTAGAAAATCAACATTCCAGATTGTTTTTTATGGATGGACCAGCCGGTAGTGGCAAAACTTTTACATATAATTATTTGATTGCTGAAACGAGCAGTAGGGGTGTTAAGTCTGCTACAGCTGCATGGACTGGCATAGCAGCAACTCTTCTTACAAATGGATCTACGCTGCACGGCTTATTTAAACTTCCTGTCCCAATACTGGATAACAGCACATGTAATGTGACTCCTAACTCTATTCAGGGACAATTTTTAAGGCAAGTTAGTTTGTTTATGCTTGACGAGACATCCATGATTCCCAAACACGCTTTAAATGCAATCGATCGGTTGTTAAAAGATGTTTGCAAAAACAACTTTCCATTTGGAGGAAAAGTCATTCTTTTTGGTGTTGACTTTAGGCAAATTTTGCCTGTTGTGAAAAGAGGGCGACCAGCTGAAGTTGTAGAATCATGTATAAAATGTTCTTTACAATGGCAATGGGTGCAGAAGTTTACATTAACTGAAAATATGAGGGTACGTGATGGAGAAGGAGACTTTTCCGAATAGCTGCTAAAACTTGGTTGTGGAACAATACCTGTCAAAGAGGAAGATCCTTTTAAGGGATGTATTGAAACTTTTTAATTTTTTATTTCTTTATCTTTAAGTGTTAATAATTTTGTTCTTTGAATAAGATTAGTTAAACAAGTCGGCTTTCCATTAAAGATATTGGTTTCAAAATTGAACACCATTGGCAAAATGCTTACAAAATTGGGTAGTTTTTAAAAATCTGTTTTCTATTTAATACACTTTTTTTAAATATACTTTTTAATTATACTTTTTAAATATACTTTTTTAATATACTTTTTTATAACAATCCTACTAATATGGAATCACGTAGCTTTTTAAATATGTTTAATTGTCATCCCTATCGGTAATAAATATTTTAAATTATTTGATATGGTTTTCTTTACAATAGGCTATGCTTGGCTCCTCGGTGCTGTAAATGGTGGCTTCAACTTTGTTTTTTAAAGAAAATGTGTTTTATATATGCTTCTGTTTTAAAATAATTTTGTTACATATTTAACTATATATCATGTAAATAAATTTCTTTTAAAGATATGTAAACTTGATAGTTGCTTTTTTACGGATTTTCAAAAAGTGAACAAAGGTTTAAATATATTTTTTAACTGTCTTATATGGTTTTATCAATTTTAATAAAGCTGAATAATTACCTCAAAAATATTGAGTAAAATCCAATTGCTTTTATTATCAACCTGATCTATACAAAAATTAAAGAAATAAAACTAATAATTTAACGCCAAGTTAAGGCAAAATGTATTCCGGACATTTTATAAAATTAGTATAAATATGGATTGGATGTATGCTGAAATAAATATGTTGATAACACGTTAGCTATTAAAGTAAATCCATATACTCCTTTATTGTTTTTTTGTAAACAAGTTTCTGCTGGATTTCTAATTAAAAAAAAGGTTGGTTTAGTAATAATCTTTATCATAATAATATAGGATCCGTACGCAGGGTTAAGCCCTTTTCGGAATTGCGATATATTTTTCAACTTATAATTTTTCCGGATATCCAACTTCTATGCCTACAAGTGCTTAAAGCAAAATTAAGAGTAGATTATATTCCCAATATTTACCTAAACAATTTTACGGAATTCGAAAATTTGACATCGATGTTCTGTGCATATAATTCAAGTCATTTTTAACTACTACATGGTTGTGATTTGCGCATTCAATGTCTGAACATTGCAAAAGAAATGGTTAACTTTATCTTTAATGAAGCTAAGAGTTCTCTTAAACTAAGAAGCCAAGAAAAATAAAAGTGAGCTCAACTAAAAAAATGTATAAATAAATTTATATTTCATTAGAGAAAGTAAATAAAGATCAAATTGTTAGTAATGATTTATTTACTACTAACCCGTATTACGGGTTGCTTTCTGTATAAATAAATTTATATTTTATTAGAGAAAGTAAATAAATATCAAATTGTTAGTAATGATTTATTTACTACTAACCCGTATTACGGGTTGCTTACTGTATAAATAAATTAATATTTTATTAGAAAAAGTAAATAAACATCAAATTATTAGTAATGATTTATTTACTACTAACCCGTATTACGGGTTGCTTACCGCTAGACTGCTTGATTTATTTACTACTAACCCGTATTACGGGTTGCTTACTGTATAAATAAATTAATATTTTATTAGAAAAAGTAAATAAACATCAAATTATTAGTAATGATTTATTTACTACTAACCCGTATTACGGGTGCTTACTGCTAGTCTAAATATTAATACGACAATGAATATTATTATTATTAGTGCGCATAGTTACGCATTGTTACGCCTATTGTTCGTTTTATTAATTACGGTGCTGCATTATGTAAAATACACTATTTCTTAGTTTTGAAGTTGTTTCTAGACTTTTCTAAGCGCAGTTATATATTCCACGCTTTCTTTTGAGTAAAATCAGCAAGCAAATTGGAGCTGATACACTTATTTTCAAGAAAAATTGATGTTGTTTATTTTTTTAAATAAAAATTTAAATAATTGTTATTTTGTTGTTGCTTATTTTTATTTTTTCTACTTTCTATAGCCTGTATTTATTTTTTAGAAGAAGTTAGAACTAAAATGTTTGGTAAAATAGTTTTTTTAGTAAAATGTTTCTTTTTTAGCAAACTGTTTCATTTTGTCGTTAGTCTTTTTAGAACATTTTAAGCAAGTATTGTTTTATTTTTTAGAGCAGTTAAGAGAAGCTGCTGGTTTTTTTCGTAAGTTCAATTCGTTTTCTTATTTATAGATAAAGATTGTTTTTTGCAAATTTATATATAAAATGCAGAATTATATATAAAACAAAGTTTTATATATGTATTTAATAAGAAAAGTTAAATAAAATAAGATTGTTATTTGTGTTCATGTAAGCTTATATACATAAGTTTGCGTTTAATTTAGTCTATTTTATATTTCTCTATATCTATACTTTATGTATATTTTCTCTTAGCAAAAGTTATAGAGAATAGAAAGATAAATAAAAAATTTCTCGAATTTGTCAAAAGAATGTTGTGTTATGCTTCATTTTAAGGTATCTAAATATGTATTTATTTTTTGTTTTTTAGAAGAAGTTAGAACTAAATTGACTGGTAAAATAGTTTTATTAGTACAATATTTCTTTTTTAAGAAAACTGTTTCAGTTTTGTCATTAGTCTTTTTAAAACATTTTATGCAAGTATTTGCTTTATTTTTTAGAGCAGTTAAGAGGAACTGATCACTTTTTTAGTAAGTGTAATTCATTTTCTCATACATAGGCTAAGATTTTTTTATATAGAAAGAATAATGAGAATAAAATTTTATTTATGTATTTAATATAAAAAGTTAAATAAAATAAGACTGTTATTTGTGGTCATGTAAGTTTATATACATAAGTTTGCATTTATTTCAGTCTATTTTATATTTCTCTATATCTATATGTATATTTTATCTAAGGAAAATTAATAAGGAATAGAAAAATTAAAAAAATTTGTTCTGGAATTTGTCAAAAGAGAGTTCTATTATGCTTCATCTTAAGGTATCTTAATATATATTCATTAGAAATTTTTAATTTTGTTTTTAAATAATTTATCCTTTTTCATTACTTTAGATAAATATATACTGACTGGCATAACTTCATTTTTATTAACAATGTCGTGCATTGTAGTCTGCATTCTTTGTTACATTTAAATTAATTGATGCTAATAAATGTTGTTTTATAGTTGTTAAAAGTTTGCATATATGTTTGCATGTATATTATGATCAAAGTTAAAAAATTTTTGTTAAATACGTGTATGTGGTGATTTATGCTATATAGTTGTTTTATAAATGTCTTTTTATAATAGTATGAAATGTATTATATCTAATTTCTGAAAGATTGTTAAATGGCGTGTTTTTATATGCTAAGTAACATTAAAAAAAATATATTGTGTTTTATAATTAGTATATATGTTTATATAATCTTGTTTCCATGATTTCAAAGTGGAGTGACTTGGCAAACGTGTAGAGCAAGATTTATCAACCTTACCAGTCAAGCGATGTAACTGCTTTAGGTCTAAGTGTTGCCTAGCCTTTAATTTAACTATTCTGAAAACACTTTGCATTATTTTTAATAATTTTTTGCGTAATGTTGTTACCTTTGGCTTATCTTTACGTTGGTGTCAGCTGTTAAAAATGATTAATAGGTAGTTTCATTATTAGAACTCGCTGCTTTTATTTATTTACTAAAATTCATTCAAGACATCGTTTCGCTATAAATACAATTTGTTTATCATTAAAAAACAATATTTAGCAACTACTACTCAGGTATCACAACAGCTTATCTCTATCAGGTACATTGATTTTCAATTCGCATATGATGTTTTTCTTTGTATTTACTTATTCGTTACATTTTTAACTTCAGATTTATGGTGTATTTATTTGCTATAGAAGAACAAATCATTTTGAATTTTTTAAAAATATCTACTCCAATCAACATTTAAAGTTCAATGTTGCATATACCATTTTTAAGTAGCTTCTAGGCTTTTTTGATGCTTTTTTTATTCAAGTGGTTTTATAAGCAAGGTCTGCAAGCAAATTTGAGCTGAAAAGTTTTTCAACTTTCAAGGAGTATCAATGTTGTTCTCTGTTTAATTTAATTTGTTTAAATAGAGTAGTTTTAGTATATAAATGTTTGTTTGTTTTTGGTTTTTTACTTTTTTGTTTTCAGATTCTTAAGAACTAGGCAACTTAGCAAAGCAAGATTTATTTTATTTTTTAGTGCAATTGCAAATATTGTAATAAATAAAATCTTTTTAGATTTAAGTAATTTTTTTTAGGGATCGTCTATATTTACGTAACGCAAAATTAAACATATAGACAAAAGAAATATCTCAAAAACTGTGTTTCTCTCATGATCAACTATATGCTGCATTTTCAATAATTTAATAGTTTGTTTTTCAAAATTGATAAATGTTACTTAAGTTTTATTTATGTGTTTAACTAATTAGTTACCTTAGTCTGTATTTGCAACACTTTTGAGGAAAGAAAGAAAACATTCTTATATATGTAGATCATTGTTTTACATTTTATTATTTATTTTATTCACCTGGCCACCATTAAAGCAACAAGAGGGGAGGAACCTCTTTATTAGAGTCAAAATATTTAGGAAAATTAAATTTCGAGTTACAAAAGGAATTTTTAGTAAATGGTGGCAAATTACCGTTTACTAAAAATTAATGAAATAAAGAGGCCAAACAAATAATATAGAAATGGTCTCTGTTAAACAGACTTAACAAGACCCGGGTCAGGTCAGCTTGACCAAACTTTTATGATCAGACCAAATTTTTATGTCTACTTATCTCTTATAATTTTTATTTTAGGTTTGTCATATATGCATTAAAAAAATTGTTATACCCATGTTTGATCGTAAATTAAATTTTTTTTTGTTTGAAAGGTATTTGTACTCAGTTGCTTAGTTATTTATAATAAACTTTGTCATTTTTAATAAATTTATTTAAATGTGTGCATTAAACATTTTTAAGTTAACAATTTTCTCTTCTAAAGAACAATTAATCAAGGGAATACCAAAAAATTGATAACTCCTGTATAATATAAGTTAACTTCATTTTAATCTTAATGGTTCGTTTTATAAAAGTTATTACAAGGATTTAGTTGATACTTTCGTCAATTTAAACCATGACCAAGTGTTATTATTTTGCGTCAGTAACTAAAAATGCATTGTGTTAAACTTAGGAAGGTCGATGAAAATGGTTCTGCCTTACACTGTTATGACCTATGTCATTTGTAAATTACTTAAATAATATTAAGTAGAAATTGTAAATGTTAAGTAGTAGTTAGTAAATTTTTTTATTTCCTCATACTTTTTATGTTAGTTTTACAGATGGATTAATTTTTTCAAGCTGAAGGCGATTTTTTAAAAGGGTATTAGTTAAGGTTTTGCAACATTAAATTGTGGAAAACAGCCGCTATAAATTAATTATGTAACAGACCGACCAAAACCCGTATTACGGGTTGCTTTTTGCTAGCATATAATTAATACATCAGAGCCGATGACGCTGGACTTAACATTTTTTGTTGCATCAATATTGTTGATGCAACAAAAAGTGTAACATACAAATAACCATTTGTAAACGCAATAATAAACGTTTTTTGTACGCAACAATTCTAAATAAAATTATTTGTGTTTACTGAGAAAAGGTATATGCGCTTACAGGGAGAAACAATAAAATGAAACATTAAGAAATAATGAACATGCTGAAACATTAAATATAATTATAAGTACCGATGAGGGGATGACAAAAAAAATCGTGATTACGGTGCTAAGCAATAAAGTGGCACCTTGTGTAAGTTGACTGCATTGCAAAGTAATTAGTTTAATTACCAATGAAGTACAAAAAATTACATAGCTTTATAAAAAAACAAAAAAAGATGTTTATAACAGATTATATAAGTTATAGATGTTTATAACAAACTATATAAGTTTATACTTCCTTGATATAGACTATAAAATATCATTTACCTATTAATATAAAAGGTATATAATTAATAAATGCTAAAAATACCCCACATTTTACATTTTAGATGGCTGTTCTTAAAAGGGTTTTTGTAACCAATTTTCTATTAATAATAGGTTGTTGCATTGTTGCGTTGTTTTTTTCCAGTTTAAAACCTTCGTCATTTTTCGATTTTAAATTACCCGTGTAATGAAATTATAAAAAATTTCAATGATTATCTATAAATTATTTCAATGTTGTCTGTTGAAAACTTCGTCACACTCAATAATTTATAAAACAAGTTTAAAATATTTCAAAGTTTTAAACCAATAGCGTCATTAATAAAAGTTTATAGGAAAGAATCCTCTTTTTTTATATCGAAGTGTCCATTTGAACCAAATTGTAAATGGAATTTCTTCTCTTATAATGTCATAGCATAAGCTACCTCGTGTTTTTTCAAAATATGATTTTGTTAAATAGGTTGAAGACTCGGTTGTTTTTTTACCAGTACATTGATTTACTAAATCACGGTTCCACTCTTTTAGTTTATTCACATCTGTATAGAAATCAGGAGGACTGTTCGCTATTTTTGTCCAAAATGTTTGATTGAAATGTTTATAAATTGCCGCGTCAATTTTATTCCAATTTAAAATTTTTCTAGTTACATTTTCAATGTCATTTGTGTTTTTTTCTTTGAATTGTCTTGCATTATGAGAAAAAAAAACAACATCTTCCAAATTCCAATTTAATTCATTTTTTAAAAGAACTAAAGATTCTTCCATATACTCCGTAATCATTACAAGATCAAAGTCTCTTGAAATTGATTTCAAAACACTCTCAATATATTCAGGCGTTTCTTCCCAAACGTCGAAACCAAGATCAAACGCGTTAGGATTTTTTGCTAAAGCAAATGCGCTCTCAGACTCAGCTGGATCAGTAGATTGAATCAGTCTTTTTAAAAAATCTTCTGAAAGTTCAAAAAACTCGTCTAGTAAAGGTAAGCGACCTGTCAAGTTGAAATATAGTTTAAAATTTAAATATTGAGCTGCGGAATCAAACTGCGCGTAAGGTTCTCTAATTATAGTAACTATTTTAGTATTGGGAGCCATTATGTTTAGCATTTTTTCTTTGTCAAATACTGCGTGATTAAAAAGCATGTTATAAGTATCTCGTGTTTTATGTTTGTAAATATAACTTTCGTCAAATTTTTTTGGGTAACAAAATCTGTGATCACATTGCGGCAAAGCAACGTTCAGATTATTCAACTTTGCGTATCTTTGCAAAACGTTTGTAACTGTGGAAGAACCTGTTTTGTGTGTCTTCAGAAAAATCACATTTTGATATATGTATTTTTTTGCCCTAAAAAAGAAAAATTTCAAAACAAATTTTTTTTTTAATATTTTTAGTATATTATTTGAGTTCCATCATATTATTCGATTATATTATTCGTGTGTTTTACAGTAAGTTATTCGAATTCTAATTTTTTATTTAGTTCGAATTCCACTATATTATTTGAATAGTTGCGGTAGTAGTACACTCTAAAAAAAACTAACGCCAAAATCACGGATAACTTTGATAAAAAAAAGGCTGCCCTTTGTATTAGCGTTTTATTTTTTATTTTCCTTTTAACTTGAGGAAGCTTGATCAATTTCTTTCAAATGGTGAAATCTATCCGTTTTACATTCATCCGGTATATTTATCTGTTATATTCATTCGTTATATTAATTCGTTACATAATATGCTTTATAATTTTTTTTTCTTAGGCTCTTCCTGTTCCGAATACTAAAAAAGAATCTGTAAAGTGCTGAATATGATAATAAATAAATATAACAATAAAATTTATTAAATATATTATTTAAGTAAATATTATAGATTTACTATAAAAAAAACACATGAAAGCTTTACTTATAAAAATCGTAGCGAAAAAGCCGTACTCATAGTACATAGATACGAAGTAAGTTGGTATTGATATATTATATATCAATAACCACTGATCTTAATAAAAATTGGACAGCGCATCTCTAATATCCAAATTGAAGCCGAAAATAATTTTCAGCAGCCATGTTGGAAGGTCCCAATATAAGTATTGATGGGCTGAAAGTTTTCATTCTAATTTAAAATGGAACCACAATTTTTCAAAAAAGTAGAAAAGGTGAAAGAAATAGATTAATATATTGTAAAAATCTGTTGAAAATGTTTAACGAATTTTAACTTATTCTTCAAACCTTTTCTCTAGATTCTTATAATAATATTATAGAAAGTATAATAAGAAGAGCAAGTTAAAAGTATTTCTAAAAGTTTGCAATTTATAAGATTCTCACTAAATGTTGAATAAGTATACAGGGGTGGGTCCGCAAAATGTAAACGTTTTTATTTTATTATAACTATTTTCTCGTTAGATGTAGTTGAGTTTATTTGATAAAAAACGAAAGACAAAGTACTAATGAATATGTAAACAAAGTCGCAACACTTATAAACATGCCGTCTTCAAAATATAAATTAATTCCAAAAAGCCGTATAATTTCAATGATCATGGATAAAATTAGTTACAGACGAATCAAAACCATATTAAACAAAGAAGGAATCGATGTATCAATTGGTTATATAAGTAAGTTAAAGAATGAGATTACTTTAGACCACCAAAAAATTGCAAATGATCAAATAAAGAAGAAACGCCACGTGCCGCCATTAAAGCTCTCAAGTACTCAAATTCAAAAACTCAAAAGATTGGTTTTAAAAGACTCATGCCCATCAATTTCACATCTTGCACGATTGTTTGGTGTGTGCAGAAGAACAATTAACAACTATATCAAAAAAAGATTCAAATTACACAAATTCAAAAAGCAAAAAGTTCATGATTTGTCTCCGGCTGCTAAAGAAAAGAGGTTTCAAAGATCTGCTCGTTTATCAAATTTTATAAAGAGAAATTGGCGAAAAATAATAACAACAGACGAGAAACTATTCCACATTTCAAATTGTAATCAAGAAAATGATTATTATTATAGTAGAGATAGAAAAAACATTCACAAAAAGTTTAAAACAAGACCTAAAAGTTTTTCGAAGGCAATAATGGTATAGGGCGGAATTTGTTATAATGGAACCACAAAACTTAAATTTGTTAAACAAGGTGTTAAAATTAATGCAGATTGTTATATTGATAACATTTTAAAACCATTTTTCAGTGAAGATTGCAAGCGTTTATATCCTAAAAAAGATTTCATATTCCAACAAGACTCGGCGCCGAGCCATACATCTAAAAAGACAATTTCATTTTTAAACAACAATAGAATCAAATTCATTCCACCTGAAATGTGGACACCATTTAGTCCAGATAACGCTCCAATGGACTTTTGTATTTGGGGATATATGCTTGAAAAGTTAAAAGATCGAAAAGTAAAGACAATCGACGGCTTGAAACGCCACATTATTGACATATGGAAGAACATCCCTCTCTCACTCATCAGAAAGTGTCTAAAGAGTTGGTCTAAACGTTGTAAAATGATCTACGAGAATCAAGGAGGTCAAATTGAACATTTAAAATAGTTCATATTTAACAGAAAATTAATTATTACAATCAGAAAAGTGTTCACATTTTGCGGTCCCACCCCTGTAAAGTTGTTGTTTGAAAAAGATTTGTTATATAAGTTTAATAAAAATATATAAGCAGAAGAAAAATTGAACATTTATTGTTGTTAACATAACTGATATATTATAAGATAATATAATTTAAGTTATATATATATATGTATATATATATATATATATATATATATATATATATATATATATATATATATATATATATATATATATATATATATATTTATTTATTTATTTATATATATATTTACATATATATACATATATATATATATATAACATATTTGATATATATATTATAGTAGTAGTAGTAGTAGTAGTAGTAGTAGTAGTAGTAGTAGTAGTAGTAGTAGTAGTAGTAGTAGTAGTAGTAGTAGTAGTAGTAGTAGTAGTAGTAGAAGTAGTAGTAGTAGTAGTAGTAGTAGTAGTAGTAGTAGTAGTAGTAGTAGTAGTAGTAGTAGTAGTAGTAGTAGTAGTAGTAGTAGTAGTAGCAGTAGTAGTAGTAGTAGTAGTAGTTTTTATTGTTGTTGTTTTAGCTAATATCGATGTCACGTGGTTCTGTTATTTACTTTTTAGATTAATGTTTTATTTTAATTTTTCTAATTTAACAGGCATAATAAGTTTTTACACATATAATAATCGAGCTAGCACACAAATAATGGTCTGACGTAAATTAAATTTTCCGTAAAAATTAAAATGTCAAATCACAAGCAAAACATACATAAATGTATGTATAATCGATAGATTAGTGGAATTAATTAGTTGTCGTTACATTTCTATCGTCATTTATAAATTTTTTCTTTACTTATTAATTTGCAGTCATTATAATAATGTCAAATATGTTAGTGTATTTTATAAAAAGAATGCTCAAAGAACAGAGCACTTAAAAATTAGTAAAAAAACTTATTTGATAATAAATAACTTGTATATATACAACGGACTCTTTTTATAAAACTTAGTATATACATATATTATATAATATATATAATGAATGTGTATAATTATATAATATATATTTTCTTTGTGATGGCCTTTGGCTAGAACTCTTTTGTCTTTGTGCTGAAAAAATATGCTTCTAATATAACTTTCTGGATTCACACTGGCACAGAATCTTTTATTCCCTCTCAACAATTCCAAGTCAAGCTTCACTTTTATGCGTAGTTTTCTTCTTATTGTGCTGCTGCTGCAATTTTTAATAGTAACCTTTATATATTGCAAAACAATTCTTTAGAAAATAGACGTTGGTTTAATTAGTTGGTTTTATTGCTAAAAACTATTGTAAAAAGATTTTGTTTAACGCCAAAGCCCGTTATTCTTAGGTCAAAAATTAGCCTCCGGAGAATCTTTAACAACGTCTGTAATAAGGGCAAATCTATTATTCCTCCACTCTTGCATTGTTTAGATGTTGTTACCTAACCAAAAGACAAAACTAAATTGTTTATAAAAACTTTTTATCAGTCTCATCTCTTGGTCCTACTAATCACATCCTTTTTTTTTTTTTAACTTTTGAGGGTTGTTAATTTTATTTTTTTTATTTGTCTATTTTAGATTTTTTATTTTGTTATGTTTTACTAGTTTGTGTGTTTTATTCAGTTCATAAGGCTGTTTTTTTAACTCTTTTTGGTGTTTTGGTTTTATAAATTTTTTGTTGCTTTTATTATGTTTGGGAATTTTTTTTTTAATTTCTGCTTGTGGTGTTAGTTTTGGTATTTTGTTTGATATTTTCTTTTTCTAAGATCGCGCTCTACTTGCTTTTTCTCATGATCTAAATGAAATTGTTAGTATTCCTTTCTACGTTGTTCCCATTCATCTCTTCTACATGCTGTATATTTTATTTATTCTATTTCATTATTCTTTGCAGTGTTTTTATTAAACTCTTTGAATTCTTTTATGTTGTTGGAGTACATCTCTCCATTTGTTTTAATGTGCGTGGTGTGATTTTTCCTTTAGTTTTTTCTGTGTGTTCAATATTATTATAAACTTCTTGGGTATTGTTTTTATATTTTTTAAATTTTTCTAGTTCCTCGTGACTGCAATTTAAATTTTCAAAGTATTTAAATAATTTCTAGTTATAGTCTACTCTTTCTAAATTTGAAAAACTCATCAGGTATATCACTACCATCTCCTTCGCTACTTTCTTCATCACTATTGTCATCTTTACTATCATCGGCATCTTTACCAACATTGTTATAAATTTCATCTTCTTCATTATCTTTTTCATTACTTCCATCCACTACGCTTCCGTCTGCACCGTTTTTACTTATTTCGTTTTCGTTCACTGTTATTTTTTCTTGATGTGATTTTAGTTTGTTTTTGTTTGTTTGTTTTTTTGTTATTTGTGTTTCTACTTTCTCCTCGTGTTTTTTATTTTCCTTTTTTTTTTCCTTATCCTCGATTATAAAATAAATTGAATTTTGTGTTTCTACCAGTGCTATTTCTAAGGTGATATTTTAAGTTGGTATATTTACATCTCGTCTATGTTTTTATGCTTTGTTATATTTTTATTTTGTGGCTTTCCTACATCTTCTTGCCCGTTGTAAATTGCCCTAACTTCATAACCATTTAGGTTGATGAATCTAGAGATTGTTTTTTCTAGTTTGTCCTTAATCGCGACTATAATACCGGAGTAATGGTGTGTTTTGTTCTTTGCTGTTGTTTTATATATAGGTTTAGTTTTTATGTGCTTTTCGTAACCTAGCTCCTCAAGAAATTTTCCGGCAAGAAAATTATTTTTTTCGATTGGTAAACCAAGAATGGATACTGTTACTCTTTTGCTAATATTTTTACTTGGAGTTGATTGGTAGAATTGATGGTTTATACCATTGATATTTATTTCTTTTTCAAGAACTGTATGTCTAGTTTTGTCATTCTGCATAACAATTTAAATTATTGAACCGTTATGAATTTTTTGATGATTGAATGGGAATTTATCGTATCCGACGTCTTCTATAGTTATTAAAATATTCTTGTCACTGATTTTAGTTTTTATCTTACTTAAAAGGGTATTTTTAAGGGAGCTATATTCTTTCACGTAATTGTTATTTGTTGCAGCTTGTGCATAAGTTTTGCTAGCAGTTTGTGCACAGTATGTGGCTTTGGCTGTAACAACGCTATTATCAGTATCTATTTTCATGAATGTTTTTGGGTCTATTAGTAACATGGTAAATAGTACTAACCGTATATTTCTCTCTCAGCCACTTGGTCACACTGAGGCCAGTAGACCTCTAAAAGAGGTCTAATCAACCTCTTTAAAACACACACACTCTATTAAACTCACTGAGATCTACGATCTCTAAAAACTCTCTGCCACTCTATGTTCATTAAAAGCCAGTAGACTTTTATTACGCTCGCCTTGGCAACCCGTGCAAAGTAAATTTCATAAAAACACTCAGAAGGCCTGTAGACCTTCTTTATACAAGTTAGGACCATTAGCTTGCCTAATTAAACTAAGAATCAAAAACAGATACTACACTTGATCTTAGCTATTAAGCCGAGAAGCAAAAACTAATCACATCCTACCTGATATATCTAACAATCAGATTGATCCATTGCTTGACATTTGTATTACTCCAGCCTCTGTCTAAATTGATTTTCTGCTTCGACTTTTCTACAGCTTGTGGTCCGGTCAACATACCTGTTATAGGTTAGTAGAAGTTAGGTGCTATCGTTATTACTTTTAAAACTAATTAACAAGTGCTTATCAGAGTTTTGTTTTCCAGCCTGCTAGAAAGTGGCATCTGTTATCCCTATATTCAAAAATTCTCGAGAGCAATCTGGTTTGTCTAACTATCTTCCTATTAGTCTTTTTCCTATCATAAGCAAAGTTTTTGAGTCTTTAATTAATAAACATTTTTTTAAACATTCTCATCTTGAGAGATTAAGAACTTTGTTTAAGTTACAAAAAGTAAGTTTTATAAAAACTTTAAATGACTTACTTTTTGATCATTAATATGGATTTCAATCTTCTCGTTCTATTGCCGATTTGTAAACAGTAATTGTTGATAGGTTTTGTTTTGCATTAGATAGATGTGGAGAGGTTTTTTGAGAACCAATGCTCTCGATACTTCTAAAGCCTTTTTTTGGCTTTGGAAATTTGTCGAGAGAAAAATTTTACATGCTGATCTTCTTCATGAGCTCTCTTCTTACGGTGTATCAGGTAACATCTCGTGTGTGTGTGTTTGTATATATATGTATATATATATACAAACACAGGCGTTTGAAACACTTTAAAAGTAAAGTTTTCAATAATCAAGTTTTGAGTTTTTTTGTCAAACTTTTTTCAGTTACTAACTACACTGGGCAACAAAATGAATTTTGTTTGCTACAACAACAAACTTTCAATTAAAGTGACCCTCCTAAAATAATAAAAAACCTGAATTGAACTAAAACGACGGTATTTTATAAATACGAACTAAAGTATAAACTTATATTTTGATGTATTAGTCAACTATAAAAATTAAAATTGCACTGTCATTTGCTCACACGTGTCATCGCAACATGTATTTGTAGATATCACAACATATAATTGAAGCTATCGAAAAAGTTTTCATTTAATAATATGCTAAATATGAAATAGTATAAAAAATTAAAAAAGTTATTTTTTCTATACCACCCTTACTTTTACTAATAACAGGCTAAATACAAAAAAAAATAGCATAAAAATTTTTATTTAAAGGTTTTCAATAAAACTTAAACTCAAAATAATTTTGTGGATTTAGTTGGAGATTTAACACATAATTACATACATAGTTACAGTAGAAACGGTTACAACAGGGCTAGTTGAATTGATAGTTGTCGAAATTTCAGTAGTTGGAGTAGAAGCTGTTGCATTGGCATTTGAAACTAATAGCCCAATATCTTTTTTGATTTGCTCTTTAGAAGTAATATTCCTAATAATAAAACAACATCATAAATAAAAAGCAAAAAAATACAACATTAAATAAAGTAATTTAAAAAACCTTTCGTAACTTTGATGGGAAGTAATTTTAAAATGCTGATATTTTATCTATCTATTATATATTATCGCGGAACTTAATAGTGTTAGTACACGGTCGTTTAATATTGATCCCCGGCGGACATTTATAGTGCGCATGCGTTTAAATAGATTTTTTAAAATGAAGAATTTCTATCTTTTTCAAAGACGACTAAGATATTTTAAAACTATTATATTTTCTACTTATTGATGTTGTTTTATCTCATTCAAAAATTTTATAGACCTTTAAAGGACCAAAGATTATAGTAATCTGATAATATTAATACGCTAATTTAATATTAGTCGAATTACGTCATTTTCTAGGCTTTTCTATTTTAAAGTAGTTTCTTTACGCTTTTCTAGGCTTTTCTAGGCTTTTTCTAGGCTTTTTCTAGGCTTTTTCTAGGCTTTTCTTACGCTTTTCTAGGCTTTTCTATACGCGGGTTTTTTTTTTAATTTTTTTTACTAACAACGCGTATTTCGGGTTGCTTACTGCTAGTATTAAAGAAATGCTGCTTCAATCTGTTTTTGGCTTTTTTTTGACTGGCTGTATAAACCTTGTTAAAAAAATATAAATATGTTTTTCAAACTTGTGTAACTTTTTACACAAGTTTGAAAACTTGTGTAACAGTTCTTGTAATAAAAAATCAATTTTTTATTACAAGAACTAAATTGTTTCTAAAAATTAAATTTAAACATTTTTAGAAAATACTAACTTTATTTACCAGCCATTTTTTTAAGTTTAGAAATTTTAAAGTAAAAAAAGTGCACCTAACTACCTAATATGGCGAATGCAACTTCTGCTAAACACATTTTGTGTCTTATCAAATTATGCCGATTATGTGGAAATTATATTGGAACTGGCTCATTTAATGTGATAAATCTAGTAATAGGGTTAACCAAGTATTTTTCACTGATGTAGGAGAAGACAAAACAGAGATCCACCCATCAAAAATTTGCATAAAGTGTTATACATTATTGAGACATTGAACAACAAAAAACAACCTCTTTTAAATCATTTTAACTGAATGGCCTCAAACATGCTTTCTTGAAAGCTGTATATGTTTTTTAAAGAAATCTGGAAGAAAAAAAAAACCATGCGGAAAACCACCACCAGTTAATATAATTAATAAAGATATTTAGACAAAGAAGTCAATTAATGAAATATTAGACAGTTTTTCTGAAATGCCTCACTTGAGCTATGAGTCTATCAGCATAACTGATAACCCCCACAAAGTTTTTTGTGTCTGCAAGATTTGCAAAAGAATATTACATTGGCTTGTTTTACTTAATAACTGCCAACATTTATTTTGTGCTTTGTGTATTTCCAAATTTAATTGGAAAATTAAAAACAGAAGCAAAATGCAAAATATGTGGCTCTAACATATCTTTAGGAAGCATTTCAAAAGCAACAACTATGCAAAATATCCTTAAGAATATAGTTTTCAAGTGTTCCAAGAATTCATGCAATGAAAAATTTAATGCAAAAAGTATAAACAATAAGAAGGAACATTAGCATGATTACAAAAGTGGAAACATATCATGCAATTGTTCAGCATCATCTTCCTTTTTATTGACAGTTACAGATATTTACAAAGTTAATGAAAATTAATTTCCTTCTGGTGGTCCAAAGGTAAGAAATGAAATTTTTTAACAAAAATATTTAATTTCATAAAATGATAAGTTAAATATTTGCATAAAGAGAATTTTTTTTTCACTAATTAGGCTATACAGTTTTCAGTGACTCCAAAGAGCTTCAAAATATCAACTGAGATTAGTCAGAAAACCATTTGAAAGCGTCAAAAGCAAATCCACCTATTGCTTATAGATAATACAGGGCCAAAGAAAAAGGCAAAAATACAACAAGTAGCACTTATGCTCAATTCTTGTAAAAAAAATGAAAAATTGATATTTTAAAAAAATCAAATCTCTCCCAAGTAGAGATTAAGTCAGAAGATATTGTATCATTTAAAGCAGACTGTGGTTTACCTAAAGAAAAGATGAAAAAAATGATAAGGTATATAATATTATTTTTATTACAATAAATTTTGCATAAAGCACTTATTCAGTTATTTCAAATTATAAATTGCATTAGTATTTCTATTATCAGTATTTTGTTGTATTTTTAGTGTTGTTGTTTTTTTTTTAATATAAATTTTCAAATAAAAAAAACTTTCATACTTTAGATTTTTCCAGACAAAAAATGTCAATTTACCCTCAATTTCTAATCAACGAAAAGTTTCAAATAATTGGTCAGGTAACGATTTGATTGTTGAAAATAAAGAATTGCTGTTTAAATTAAAAAAGAAAAAAGAAACCTTTGAATTGAAAGATACACCTACAGCATATATTAATGATTTTCCATTTAATCAAGGTACTGGATGAGTTTGAAAGGTAAGTTCAAAATATAAAAAAAACTAAAGTTTCTTAATTCTTATTAAATACACTTAAATGTTAAAATCATTTTATAGATAACAATACCAGCTCTACACATCTCATTGGGAATATTTTTAAAATATTCCCAATTCTTCAACATGTTAGAGGTAGATTGTCATCTCCTTAATATAAAACTTGCTGGATTTCTAGCGAAAAATGATAAACATCTTAAATTAAGTGAATTTGACAAATATGTTGAAAAGCAGGCAGAGATACATCAGTTAGAATTTGCCATTGATGATATAAATACAAAAATTCTTCTTATTCAAGATACAATAGTCATTAAATTACTTTGCAACCTAAAAATACAGATAATAGGTATCAACATTAAATAGTACTGGAAATAATTTTGAGGGAATAGTGTTTTATTTTTAAGGCATTGTTTTTTTATTACTTCAATGACTGTATTATCTGGACTTTGTATACACCTACATTTATATTTAATTTTAAAGGAGGGACAAATTGCGGAATGCTCAAAATTTAAATGATTAGAAGGCTGATATTAAAGGAAATCAAATTTGTTTTGCAGTTATGTGGAGTACAACGTCAAGCTTATCACAGTTGCTTGTTCGTTGGAAATCATGTTCACAAAATGCTAAAGGTACATGTTTTTTTATACAAATCTTTATTTTTAGGCATTAAAATATTTTTTTCTTCTGTATATTAAGCAGGTTTTTGTCATCTCTGCATTAAACATTTTAATTATCATTCCCAGTTAACATTTCTGAGCTACCTATACATAATAGTAATACCTATACATAATAGTATATGGATATGCATATATATTTATTTTATTTTTCAGGTTGACAACATAAAAAAGTTATGTGACTCAATTCTCCAAATGGTTTTTAATAACATAACAGATCAAGAACATCCAATCTATATGGAAGCGGTTGACATACAGCAAAAATTTAACATTTTATTTCAAATATTCAAAGTGTGACTATGCAATAAATTCATGTTCATAATGTTTCATTAATATGAAAATTTGTTAATATTAACGAATAAATTTTCATATTAATGAAAATTTTTTCATAAATATTTGCATTACAGAAGTTTTTTATTTGCAGAAGTATTTTTTTAAAGAGTATTATAATCTTTAATGAATATTAAAGAAGATATTTTTTCATATATATAAAAATATAGAGTATTAGTTTTGTTAATGTAGAGGCAAAAAAAAAAAAAAAGCCGGTAGCTAGATAAAACTTTTAAACTTTCTTTTTGACAATTAAAAGTTTATTTTGCTACATTTACTTTTTTACTATAAATGTATGTTGCAACTGTTTTTCAAAACGCCTTAATATGTTTATTACGTATTTCAAGAAAAACACTATTTAAAAAAATTGTTAGGAGAAACTCTTTGTAAAACGTTTTTTGAAACGAATAATTTTTATTTAGGGGAAAGGCGCCTATGATGGCATTGCGTCTATGATGGCATACCGGTCATATTTCTATAAAAATTGGTTTTGGTGAAAAAGTGATTAGATCTACATGAATATACTGACTTTACATTAGTTTTAGTAAAAATAAGTTCCTTTTGCACAAATATTGTTTTTATAATCAAGAAAAATCGATTTTGGGATGTGCTCTTGTAGTCCTTCATATGTTTAAGATTGTGATTTTATTTTTAATGTGCAGAAAGGAAATTTTCATGCATTTTATATCCAGGTTTTGTGCATTTAGTGGAATACTTACTTTAATTTTATCTTTTGAACAAGGCAGATACAGATTGTTTTAATGAAAATGATGACTTCTTCCAATGATGGCATACTGACGAGTTGGGTGTTGCAATAATGACGAGTTGGGAAAACCTTTTTTTTAATAAGAAAAGCTTATTATTAAGTAAAGTAAAAAAAAAGAGATGCTTCAAAAAAATTTTTTTTGGTCATAAAACGCAATAAATTCTATGCGCATGCGCGAAACTTTACAATGCTGCTGTGTAGCATGAAATGGTAAATTAGGATGATTCCGAGTAATTTCAGGCTTTTCTAAGGAAAGACTCTAAGGTTAAAGGAAATTATCAAGTTACCCTTGATCCTAACCAGCCCCATCCTCCCCTATGCAATCATAGGAGCAGTAGTTGCCTATGATAGTATACTTGTGCTTTTTTTTTAAATAGGAATAACTTATAAAAATAACAAAACTGATAAAAATTCCGAGGGTTATTACTGTTCTACATGTAACAAGAAATGCATCCATATCAAAATTTTTATTCTTGGTCTTCAGGATACTGAATAATGAAGCTTCAAAGTTAAGTATTGCATCATAGGCCTAGTTTTTTTTTCTTTTGTGCAATTTTCTTTGCAATAAATTCCTTTATCTTTCAGAATATGACAGTTTTTAACAATGCTATAGAAAAAATATCAGGAAATTGATTTGTAGTATTTCAATTACACAAATTATATTAAATTATATATATTAAATTAAATAGATAAATAAATTGGTATAAAGTGTATTTTTTTTTTTTCGAAAAAACTTAGT